GCGAACGGACAGGAGGACAGCCATCCACATCTTGTGTGTCGTCGCTTGCGTGTTCGTGATGAAGGCCGTTCAGCTGTTGGCGTACGGACAACAACGACTCCTTTAGAGACTCTATGCGAGTCGGTGACGCCCACGAGAGCTTCTCGTATCCGCGCAGCGCCCGCAAGTACATCACCTCCGCCTCCGCCAGCTTGCCTTGAATCTTGTACAGACTGCCGAGATTGTTGACCGTGGCCAGCGTCGACGTGTGCTCCGCGCCCCATGCCTTCTCCTTCCCCCGCAGCGCCCGCACGTACATCTCCTCCGCCTCCGCCATTTTGCCTTGATTCGAATACAGATTGCCGAGATTGTTGACCGTGTCCAGCGTCGACGTGTGCTCCGCGCCCTATGCCTTCTCGTACCCCCGTAGCGCCTATAGGTACAGATTCTCGACCTCTTGAGATTTCTCCCAGTCATCCAGAAAGGATGCAATCCGATGACATTCTCCAGCTTGCTGCTCTGCACCCGAACGCAACAGTGCTGTCCTCGCTCCTATCGCCTTAGCATGTGCTGCGAGCCGGAGACCCTTCTCCCTCGGAACTGCCTGGCCGACCGACATGGTCATTTCTGCCACAAGTCTCAGCGCTATCGCTGCAAGTGGCTGTGCTGTAGACTGGTCCAAGTTGTGCAGGCACCATGCGTGTACTACAGGGTGTATCGTGTGTGTTCGCTCTGCTATGCCTATAGTCACTAGCGAGTACTGGACGAGAGTTCCGATCGAGTGCTGCAGGGAGAGCTTCGTCACTCGCCTAAAGACTGCATCCACGTCAGAACTATGCTGCGTGTCGTCGCCTTGCCCGGCTAGTACCAGCTCGGCCCACACGTCGCCGTAATAGAGAAATGCCTACAGGTCAAGCAGCCGGCCTGCGAGCGGGTCCATACTCTTCACTTGTTCGTACGATATCGTCCACGTCGTGAGCACGCTCCGCTCGCCATATTCCTCTAGTGGAAATTGATCTTGGTTCTGCATCAGCTCGGCCCACGTCGCCTCGTAATGCTCTAAGTAGTCTAGCACGCCCATCCCGGTCATGCCTAGGTACGCCCCTGCTTAGGCGAGGGCGAGTGGAAGACCGCCGAGCTTGGGGAGCAATTGTTCAATATCTGTGAGATTGCCATGTCAGTGATCTCAATCGCTTTAACGCGCTACCACACACACGTACTCGTTACTGCTTTGTCTGCACGCGTCTCCAGCATCTCCTTCGCTAGTAGATCATCGACGACGTCCAAATGAAGGCTGGCTTTCGGTCGTTGCAGTCGTCGGAGACGCGTCGTGATCAGGACGTTTCCGTGATTCGCGTTTAGTAGGAATTTGTGATAGTCGTATGCCTGATCGTCCTTTGTTTTGCCCAGCCACTCGCGGTCGATGTTGTCGATCACCATCAGCCAGTTCGCATTTCCTGGAAGCGACAGCCATTGTCGGAAGTCATCACTTGCCTGTGCGACATCCATCTTCGCCGGAGCGTCTTGCGGACAGGTCGATAACCGCGCACCCGCGCTTGCTATCGATCGCTGCAGAGCATCCCTCGACGACCCGTCCAGCCAGAACACCGCGCTGAACCGCTCGGCGTTCGTCTTCGCAAACTGCGCACATAGCTGCGTCTTGCCCATCCCGCCCGTGCCGTACACTACAAACACCCGCTGCTGTGCCGTCCGTGTCGATGTCGTTACGAAAAACTCGGTGAGATGCTGCATCTCGACTTTGCGCGGCACAAAATAGTCCGTCGTCGGAATCCCTTGCAGGCTGAAAGCGAGGGAGAATTCGCCAAGTACCGCTTCACCTTTGCGCTTTGCAATTTTGTGCAGCAGTCGCTCTCTTGTCTTGTCCTTGCCGTCGCCGTAACGGATGTTTATGCTGACTCCGACGATACCGAGCAGACAGTATAAGAGATCCTCGCCCTACATCGTCTCCCGGCCGTCCGCCTACCGCATCTTCTCTTCGGCGCTCAGGCCCTCGCCTTCGCGGTAATTATGCAAGATCGTCTTCGGGATCGTAGTAACACTCGAGATGATGTCTTCGAGCGATGAACCCGTCTGCATCGCTATGCCGCTCCGTCCTCGACCCGCATGCCCTTTGTGGCCGATAACGTCCCATTCGCGCGACAGGAAGATTACGACGCCCGGCGCCAGCAGTTCTTGCAACGTCTACCCGCGCCGGAACTACACGCTCTGCTCGAAGGTAGACATGTTGCCTACGCTAGGAACGTCCTCTAGGTATGCCAGACACACCTCCGCGTCGCGATACCACTAAAACATCGAGTTGATCGCGGCCGACAGCTCGCGGTCGCTCTGCTGCTTGATGCAGCATGTGTCTACCTACAGCCACTTCACTAATAGCAGATATTTCTTTATGTATTCCACAAATCCGTGCACCTTGCGATATCCTGCTGAGTCCGTCCTCTTCCTCTCGTGTACGTCCTCCTACATCGCCTCGGCGCCCGCCGTCCAGCGGTGCGATGCGATAGCATACGGCGGCGGCGTCGTCCCGAAGTACTCCGTAAATCTGACCGTGTCGACGTTGAGGAGCCGTATGTCGCGTACAAGGCTGCAATAATGCTTATCTGGAATGCAATGTAGGGATGTTGAAGGCGTGCGACAAGATCTCATCCTAGGTCTGTCAAATATCTACTATGCTGCGTCGCATCCCGGCCGCCCTCTCGACGCCTGCAGCTGCAGGGTAGCGCAGTCCACGCGCAAAGCCTCCTAGGAGCACCGGTCATTGCTCAAGCATAGTTTGGCTTCGGAGACAAATCTGCTAAAGACAGGCGCACGCAGAAGATAAGCTGCTAGTGCACAGCGTGTATCATACTTTCAAAGCAAGAGAAGTAGTTGGAAAGGAATGTTGTTATTATGTCTTACGGGCGATTGCAAAGCGGAGGGAAATGCAAGATGTCGCGGGAGGTTGTTACGGCCACTCTTCGGGAGGTCCAGCCCTAACGCGACACCTCCCCGGACGGCATACGCTACTGTCGTATAGTGCATTCACGCGGGTAGAGGCCCGGATTCTAGCACTGACAATAACAGGTCACACATACTAGCAAGAATATCTCACACACACGCGCTAAGCAGATGGTGCCGTTTTTTTAATGCGAGCGCGGCATGTCATCTTGCATTGTCCATTATGGGCAACCTAAAGACGCCATTTACGGGAGGCGACAGGCGACCGGTAGGGCGATGTCTCTTACTCGAAGTAGAGAAAAATCGGCAAGTATATTCGAATTTAAGAGGGCCGATAGATGGGAACAAATAGCGACCGCATGTGGAAGTCGTGCGGGCTACGGTGACATTTCTGAAAAGTACAGGCAGGTTTGCAGCGCGTTCCGAAACACTACATTACCTACACTACTCTTTGTCATCTTTGCGCCAACGACCGAGCCGTCTTTATAACGAGCAAGTAAGGGAGAGCATCTTACATGTAGACGACGGCTGTGCGATACCGTCGAAGACGTCTCCGAAGAGAGGGAGCAGAGAGTCCCGCAGCACTTAGCAAGTTAATGCGCAAGATGTGGAAACGCTCTTAACCTTAGTAGCTTTCTAAAGCAAAGTCTTCTATACAATTCGTTCTCATATTAATCTAAGATTATACTTCTGAAACAATCTGAATCAATCTAAATAAACTATTATTGTATCGCGTTAGTATAAATTCTATGAGGACTGTCGATTATTAGACATACATACGCCGCGTGCGAATCCATAAGAACTAACTGTACAGACGAAACAACCGGCGCTGTAGGCTACAGTGGTTTTGAGGCCTTTAGTATGGACCGGTGTGCTAAGCCAGATTACGGAGGCGTATAGAATAGTTTTCTAGGGTTCTCGGTCCGCGGCATGACTCAGCAATTGCGGTTCGAAAACAATATTATAAACGCCTACGGCGGCAGCGCTCGGGATCACGCAACCTAGGTCTAGTTTGAATGTGACCGAAGGCAGCTACAGAGCTAGTTCTAAGCGATTAATCGAGACTAATGACTCTGTACATGGATGCGGATTGTGCCCGTACGAAGCGTGTTACGATCCTGGAGCGGACCGGAGCAGACAGCCACGCAGGAGCACTGATCCAAGTCACGTGTCGCTAACCTCAGGGTCACACACCCCACAGAACCACGATGCAAGCAAGGGTTAGGAGAACCCTAAGGAGCAGAGCTTTGGAGCAGCTGCCTGAGCTAGAGCGCTGATCCAGGAGCAGGACTTTGGAGCAGACGCTAGAGCCAGAGCACCGCTCCAGATCAGAGCACTGGAGTCGCTAGCGACTCTAAGTCACTGATCCACACATTTCCTTTGTACCTAACTTATATATATAGGTAGGACGAACGGACCTTATGTCTGTTCGTGTTGAACTCATGTTACCAACTTAACCATTGGAATCAAAGCCCCTTTCAGATATCCTGTTGCACCACTCATTCTCAAGAACCCCCTCGAGTAAACCGCCCTTTGGCAGTTGACCCGTAACAAAGCGATCGATCGGCCGGGTCGAATTTTGCACAAGGATAGAATCGATGACAGTATCTGCGAGATGGACCCGAATAGGATATAGAGCGGTCGATAGGAAGCTGGCATTCTAGTCTACACCTCAGACATGTCGGAGTTCATTAATACAGGTGTTGCAGAATGTTATCGAAGAATGTGTCCGATGCTGGCTCGTTACGCAGGGTGGCTCGCGACGCCGGGAGGGACATTACGCAATTTCGCTCATAGCCTGCTGTTTTCGTAACTTCGTTAAGTCATGCCAGACTTGACAACACATGCCGGAAAGCTGGTGATTTTGCCCAATAGTCTCGTTGCAACATCGAACAGCATATCTGGCCAGGTTCATTTCATTTCACAGACGCTCCAATTTGATGGCTTAGGCAAAACCGACGGTTCCGAATGTGAGGTGAGGTAAAAGCATTGTACTGCTGTACTTAGGGTCGAAATAGGGTTGCGTAGATGCAGGAAAGGCTCGACATCATCACGACAATATCCGTGCGCTGTCGTCGCTCATAGCAGTCGGTGATCTAGCGGCAGTGCACGGATAGGTGGGCTTTGATTGTATCAATGAAAGGACAATGCCTTGAATTTGCGTGACAAGTTGAGTGGCTGTGTGCGGTACATTCATCCCACCATTGCCTCACGAAAGGACGTGGAATGTTTCCGCGAGGCGTGCCTAGCCGAGCAACGTTCATTTTCTTTGGCATAGCAAAGCGGAATCCGAGGAAACACAGTGCCACGACGGAGTTTCTCATGTTCAGGACCGACAAGATATGATACGAGCAAGGCTCCCGCCATTCCGATTGTTGCGATTTTGGGCACATGCATGGCCCACCCCATGAGAAGGGTGCGTTCGCGCTACGCCAAGCATCGATGCTGACGGCCATTGCTTCTTGGCCCGCTCGTGGGAAGCATGATCGGGCTGGCGGGAATAATATAATTCGAGCGAACCATCATATCTATGGATATCAACGTATCTCTTGATATTACTCCTTTGATAGCGCCTGGCGCCTGCATAATCTCAGCTGACGCTTCACAAACGATCCGTCACAGCGGGTGGATAAAAAATGGCGCCTGTACCGGACATCCGCCTGTGGGAGGAGGTTTCGCCGGCGCCCGCTGAAATGCATAACTCGTGGCGCCTTCCACTGAACCATGTTCGTTTCTTTGATTCCGATAAAGTGTATCGCCGTGTGGCTCTGAATGATGGTGCGAACAAAGGGAACCGGATCTCTGGAAATATAATGTTGACTTCAGCAGATTTGGGTAGAGGCGAGGAGATGGATCGCGGGACCGAGAACCCCAGAGTCTACTACGATCCATATGGTGATTTTGGTGACGATGACGACGATGACCCAGACGATTTTTTTTTCTTCGACGAAGGCTACGGTAGTCTTGGAGAGGAAGATGAGGATATTGAAGAGGACGGGGATGGAGAGGAGTTTGACGGTGACAAAAACATCGAGCGGGAAGAGGATGATCTTCTTCTTGATGAGGATCCCTTCATATGCGAGGATTGCGAGTTGTCTGACAGCGACAACGAAGCAAAGGACAAATGATGGCTGTGCTGTGCGGAATGTCGGAGAAAGTAGACTTGAAATACAGAAGGAATGTAGGATTGAAATGCTAAATTTATAATCTATTCCGATCAGGAGCATCAGATCATTGCTTCACCACAGCATGATTCCGAAGACTGTCCATGTGTGGAAATGCCTCCTCATGCTACCTCCATCGTGGACAAGTAATGCCGCATGCACGGCTCGTTCCGTGCTAGTGCAGCCATGATGCACGTGATGAACGGGAAATAAACTGGAGAACGAGTCGACTTTGATTGCTATCTACGCCATAACCGTCAAGGAAAAAAAAGCAACAATCATACTGCGTGCCTAGCACGATTCGCAATCGCAAGATCTTAAATCGTCAGAATTCTACGACATCCCAGGATCGCACATTAGCTGTCTCTATGGCGCATTGATGCATTCGGTCTTCACCATCATCCAGGCATCTGGTACCCTTCTTGTGAAGTGTCGTCACCATAAATTCCACAAAGACCGGCTCGGGAGTGCCAATGTGAGGGCAACCCCTTCGAATTTGTTGATAATTTGTAAGCTCTATCTTCGTCCTTGGATTTCTTCTCGGCATCCTCCTTGGACATCGCAATCTCTTCCGTGAAATCGACAGGGTCGTGCTGGAGATATCACCTCATACAAGCGAGACGTAGTACGCGATCGCGCATTCTACGGTATCAGTGCTGGTAGATTTTGCGGCTCGCCGTAGTCCTGCACCGTCTCCGCTGCAATTATCCTGGGAATGGATCGAGCTGTCTTCTATATCGATGCTCTGCGGCGCAGTCGATCGTTGCTGTCCTCGCCTTTACTTTGCTCGACATTTACGCCACCCTCAACATCCCTGCCCTCGATCTCGCCGTATTCGCTGCTCTCGCCTTGGCTCTGCTCGCTGTTTTCGCTGCCTTCGACATCGCTGCTCTCGCTGTATTCGCTGCCCTCTTCGGAATCCTCGGCATCCCTGCCCTCGACATCGCTGAAATCGCGGTCCTCGCCGTATTCGCTGCTCTCGCCGTCTTCGCTAATCCCGCCGTCGTCTGGCTCGCCGTTGCTCTCGCCATCGCTGCCATTACGAAAATTGGTGGAGGTTTGAGACGTGCCGTCTTCAGAGGATAGTTTGGCAGGTGACCCATACTCTACAAGCTCGCGCATACAATTCGACGCGAAATCCTCCTTCGAGGAAAAGCACTCCTGCAGTTTGTCATTATCTTCCCATCCACGCCACCAGATCTTGCCTTCCTCAGTAAGATAAGGGATATCGAGTAAAAGTGTGCGTGTGCGCGCTTCGCAGTCTGGCACATGCCGCACTTCGCTGATAGCCTTCGCAGTGATCTGAGGGAATTTGACCCAGAAAAGAGCATCTTTCCAGACGTGTAGTGCAGCGGACCCTACATAATGACGCACAGTATCGTCGAGTTTGCCTTCAATGAGCCTCCGTTGGTTCGAAGTTCGATGACCGGCAGCCCGATCGTCGAGCAAATAGTATGCTGTCAGCAAAGCCCGTAAAGCTGCGTCCATTAGAATGAGGCTGCATATATTTCCGGCCATCTCTGCCGGGAACGAATGTCGCTGACTCTCTCTACGAAAGGCCTCATAAAGTTGAACATCGAGTGGATCCTTGATTGATCTCTTGAATGCATCGAACACTTTCTCTGCTCGTCTCAGTTTATCCTGGTCAACTTCGGATACTAAAGTGCAATCTAAAAGCTTGCATCGATCAGCTTCGTCCAAACGCCAGCCGTCCATGCACCAGCGGTTCTTGTCTCGCTCTGGGGGATCTGCCCGGAAATAAGGAGCGCCGCGTAAAAGTATGTCCGCGCGCTTCCTGCGGTCTGGCTCATGTTGTGCTTCGACAATGATCTCCGAGGGGATTGCGTACAAATTTGGATTTTTAGCTGCTTTGATCACAGCTTCATTCAATTCAGGGTTGTAGAAGAAGCTCTCGTCCTGTTCATCTTTTAGAGCTCCATCTTGGATCTTAGAAAGCGCCTGCACGCATTGGTCGTAAGCGATCTTGTCCTTGTCCGAAAGGTATACGTTCTTCAACAACTCCAAGACCGCCATCTTCAAAAAACTGTGACACAAACTTTGGGGCATCATTTCATCGAACTTGTCCTCATCGTCCACCTCGGAGTCGTTAGAGTCCGGCTCTAACGCCGCCGCAGAAAAGCTATGATACCGGCTATCATTGAACGGGTCCAAGAGGAACTCCTGGAAGACTGCGAAAACGGCCTGATCACGGCAGATCGTATGTAAAATCCCTTGGGGATCATGAGGCACTGGGAAGGATATTTGCTTCGCATTACCTTCGTCAGGTATTCCTCCTTGGCCAAGAAGGCTGCTTTGGAAATAATCGCATTTGCCGACATGGAGACTGATCTTGAAGGATAACTCGTAGTTTTCTCGTAAGCGATGTCCGTAGATAAAGTTTGTCACACTGTCCCACAAGGATTTGTCTTGATCCCAGCCACCGCCTTGCTCGCCTTGTGGTTTGAAATGGAATTCAAAAATGCCATCCCGCTCGCGATGGATTGACAAAGGCGGCATCGGCACGGAGTAAACCGACGACATCGCAAATCTCATCAGCTTTTCATCAGGCGTGTGTGGAATTGATTTGAAAAGCATGTGAGCGCGCTCGACTAGGTTTGTTTGCTGCCGTAAACGGTGGACCAAATCTTCAGGAGGATCCCATGCACTCGCCCGCTGCTGGAGTATGGAATCAATCCATTCTTTCGGGATAGCTTCTAATCGCTGAAGTTGGATCTTGCGTTCATCTATTCCTCTCCTGCAAAGACCTTGTGCCAAACGGTCACCTAGTCGATTATGCACTTCCTCGAAAATGGTAAGCGCATCTATGCTGCGACGTAGATCGGACATGTCACAAACATTGAACATGCAAGCCCGGGTGCCCTTGCAAGGCCCAGCAGGATCGCAAGCTCGAGCCGGATCGCAAGCCCGAACCGCCTGACCAAGTGATCTGCGGCGTTCTTCTATCCAGGGCGTGGCGTTGAATCGCTCGAACTCCTCTTCTAGCTTCAACACTTCAATCGGCGCTCCGTATGCTCGGTGCAGATCGTCGACTTGAGAAACAGTGACAGGATTAATCGGGTTACGTGTCCTGACTTGTTCGTCTGCCAAAGGGCTCACGTTCTTGATGTATGAGTCAACCTGTTCGCGGTAGACCTTTTTAGCCTCGCCGCTGGTGGCTTTTCTGGCCTTGAGGTTGAGGTTTTTAACTTTCCGAGAGATGCGAACTTCGCGCTGATTGTACTGATCTTGCACCATCTCTCGCCAAACGGTGTTCAGATTGTACCTTTCAATCAAAGAGTCGAGATTGTCAAACAGATTCTCGCCAGCCCAGTCATCGTCTCCAAATCGGGCGCCGTTATTCAGCTGTAGATCTATGTTGTGGTATACGTCTATCGTTGCTAGTGCGCAAACGACATCGGACAATTGCCAAGCTAGCGATCTGTCCATGCCGCATTCTTCGAAGGCCTCCAACAATTCGGCGTATCGAGCATGATCCCACGGGGCTCGGATGAACTCGTCATATTTCCTGGTGAGAGGATGCAGCGCTAGCGGTACGCAGTCAAGGATTTCCTGCAGATCTTCGGGTTCATCACTAGGAATTAGCTCCATGATGAAGGTCGTGCCCTGGAAAATTTTCATGTTTGGTCACCTCGATATATATCTCTGCATTGCCAAGAAATGATAGACTGCGGGTTTGGTTCTTGGCAGCCTCGATTGCACGTCGCGACAGCCTCGATGTACATGTGAAGCGAGGTGCTCGAGCACTCCCCCTTGTGGGTCACGGGGGTGTGGAAGGACCTGCTCTGCTTCGTCGCGCCGCATGCCCACGACGCAGCGGGTCCGTTTTGAGGAGTGCCGTTCCTGCGGCGCCGCGGTGATGACGCGGTTCGCCGCTCACACGCCTGTTGGAACAGTGACCAAGTGATGGTCTTGGTCAAAGGGGGCATCTTTGTCTCGATCCACGCTTATTGCGCTCAACACGAACACGAGTCGGAATTGCTACAAGACGGTCATCATGACAAGAGGAGTTTTAATATTTTACGGATTAGATAAAGCTGATGCGCGAAATGAGATACCTCGCCTTAAAATGGCTTCGGTATGTCCCTCGCAAAGAAGGAGAGTGCAAGGGATGGATGGAGAAGCATGGTCATTTCCGGTGAAAACCCCGCGGTCGCTGTCTCCGTCGCAGCATCGCCGTGGCACTGTCGCAACTGAGGACCCACCTTGTTGAGGGCGCAGCGCGACCGCAGAAGAGTGAGTGATAGCTGCCGTTCTCCCATGGCTGGCTCGGGGCATGAGACAGGTGTGAACCAGGCGGCTAACGCCTGTCGCTCGCGGAGGAGCCTATTCGCTCAATACTAGCACGGCTCTCCTGAAAGTCTTGTCCATGAAACCCTTGACGCTGCGAACGGCGCCGAGGTTGCAGTACAGCCCGGAACCTCCGCCAAGCGTTGTGCACGAAAGATGTTTCGATCGGAGCGGACGCGGCGGCTTCGCTGAGGGGCTAGACTTCGCTGCATCCGTGCGCCTCCTGCGCGCTCTCTCAGCTCTTTCCCAGAGTCCGTCCTGGACCAATCCTCTCACGGCCGTGATAGTATGGCAGGGACGTTGCGGCATGCTTTGTGCCGATGTTGGAGTGCGCGATGTTGTGTCCGTGGGCCAATAGCCAATCCCAGCAACGCCGTGCTGCAGAATACCATGCATTGTGTTTTCTTCATTCACGTTATCCTCTCGAGCCAGGCCAACTTGCAGCGGTCATCCCCACTATTGAAGTGTCGATGCGCAGCCTCTGGCATTCTGAAGCGATTGATATGCCTCTGGGTAGGGGTTGTGACAATTCGTGAGCTTGGCGTCGCTAAAATCCGGAGCAAAAACGCAGCGCTTTTGTCTTCTCTTCAGGGCAGAACCGGTAATTGACGAGAATTCGGCTGCCGAGCCCCTGACATGGGCATCGGGCGGATCAAAGCTGTGAGATGGGCCAGCCTCGCGAAGGCTGATCCGCCATCGGGGTGGGTAGATGGAGTTTGAAGAAATGTGATGCGGCAGACAGATCAAAATTGAACAGTAACGTTACCTAGGTACTCGCGCATTTCTCTGCGAGCAGAAAACGAGAAATGTTGTGTCGGACCCACTATTAGAGCGCCATCGGATACTGCCGTCGCCAGAAATATGCTCGCCAAGCCCGTTGATTGCGGCAGCGCTTAGATACTCTTCTCTCCTCAGACACTACTACGTCCGCGAGGAACTGCGAATGTCGCAGTCGTCTGGTCGATGCTGCACAGTCAGGGGCGAACAAATAATGCTCCTATGCAGGCATGAGAGTTGCGCCAGCGCCAATCTGACTCTAAACCGCTGCCACGACGAACCACAGCACCGCAGCGCCGCGTTCGTGACCAGGAGTCCAGGACAGCATACTCGACTTCACAGCAGGATGTACACCACACCGTTGCATTGCCTGACGGTGCTGTATATCTTCCAGCACATCGCCATGTCCTGTTCCACAATCGTGTTCTTCCATTCTCTCTTTCAGACCACTATCTCACGCCGCTCACCTTGCCCTGTTGATCAGACCACGCGTGCTGAGAATATCAACCCAGCATGGCCGCTGTTGCCTCTACGCTCCCCACGACGAATGATACCTATCGCCCGCTCAATCTCCCGAATATCCCCAATCGGACCATCGACGTGGTTCTGTCTGATCGGCTGACGCTCGGCCGGGATCATTATGTGCCATCGATGATCTACAAAGATTCTTTCGATGAGCGGCCGCCTGCCGACTTTGTTGAACGAAATTTTGGTTTCGTAATTCGCACTCTTCACAGAGTCAGGGAACGCGCCGACAAAGACCCCGCGGCCCAGGAGGTTTTCGAAATAGCCCTCGCCACCCAGATTGCAGCACGAGAACGCTCCCGACGCGAAGCCGACGACTCCTATTTGTCAGGACTACTCTGCCTCCATGCCGCATGTGGCAGCGAGAAGAAACCATTGCTAGTCAATGAAGATTTGTGCGCGCTTGGCAATGAGATCGGAGACATGTTAGCCTGCTTAAGATGGATAATGTATAACATGCCAAACTCGGACATCAGAGACCGGCTTGACCACGTCATCGAACACCAGTGGGCTACAGACTTCGATGTCGGAGAAGTCTCCCATCTGCTCCGTCATTTCGAACTCCTGATCGAAAGATACGACGAGCACGTTGCGGAATACGACGAATGCGACGCAGCAGCCTCGACCGTCCTAAACAAAGCACCACCCACGCAAGTCATTGGATTGCGCGAAGCACTCCAGCATGCAGGGGCAGCGCTTGCCTTTTTCCGACAGCATGCACCCGATGTGGACCTCACCTCCGTCCAAATACCGATCCATGATTTGCCGACCGGCATGTCTGATCGCGATCTTACCAAGCATGTTCGCAATGTTGCATTGTCGTTCGTGCGCATGTTTGATAGCGCAGAGCAGAGCCTTCTGCCCGCCGAATTGCAATCCCCGCAGGCTCCTAAGTCGACCCTGTCGAGCGGCGTTTCGCTGAGCGAGTCAGCCTCAACCTCTCCCACTGGCTGGGAGCGTGAACACGAGAATCAAGCGGGCACAATCCGCGATGCCGAGACCATGCACAATCACGGCTTCACCCTTCCCGTTCCGCGGGCGAGTTCGTCTGCCACATCTGATCAAACTTTCTGTTTTGAGGCTGCCTTTGATGAGGAAGCACAAATCGCTTCCAATGACCATGCGTACGACGCCATCCGAGGCTCTGGTGTGACCGGCGCTCAGCGCGGCGTCAACTACTGTGCGGAGGTACCGCTTGCCCCTGACGGTCGAGAGCTTCAGGCTCCTGCGCCAACTACAGGGGATGATGGCGGATCCTCGCTCCTATCTGATACAACTTACCAGAGGAGCCTGACGCTTGCACCGTCCTGCTATGCGTCCTCAGACGCCGAGACCGAGGTTCTGCCGGAAGTTGTGCATCGCAAAATGGCCACGAAACGCCCTCTGTTGAGTCATGACGAAAATTCGCACGCCGGGCATGAGCGTACACGTCGACGCGTTGAAGAGCCCCAACCTCGCAGATCTCCGCGCACCAAACAGTCTCAGCCTCGCAGGTCCCAGCGTATACGTCGCGATTAACTACCGGGGTTGGCTCTTTAGCGGAGAAGGAGGTTGTAGTCTCATACTATGCCCGCTCGTGCAAAATGGCGAATCTTGTCGACGGGCCATGGTGCGTTCTTGCATAACCACGCAGGTGGAACGCCAGGAGGGGTAGAGCAGAATTCCAATGTATTGCAGTGTTTTCGCCATTGACGTCAATGTGTTGTGTTTCCACCATGCCGGAAGGCAGCACATGAGCGCCGCCCCTTAAAAGTGCAACCCCGTCGTAGAGCAACATCAGTCGAGCACAGCCACTGTAGAACGAGACATAAAGGGGGACTGTCCGTCGTCCTTGCAGAGATGCATTCATCGATACCTCATTTCACCACCTCTTGTCTTCACCGCATACTCGCCCACTTCCGCACGGAAACCATGGACAAAAGCACCGAAGAATTGCCCAATAGTCCCCACCAAGCCATCCTCCCAAAAGGCTCTGACAATGACCCTGGCGGCGACACTACCTCCGATAGCACCACCAGCTTCAAGGAATTTTACCAGCTTGTTGTCATTGTCGCGTTTACGTACAAGTTGGTCTCCTCAGCCTGGAGAGGACATTTCTATCCTACGATACTCTGGGCGATTCTCGACATCGCTATGTATCTTTGGATGGCGATCAGCGAATGGAAACCACGGGTTATGGCCCACCACCCGCTCGCAATACCCGGCTCTAGTGTTTGAGAAGCCAGGCTTCTTCCTACACGGCTGCGCCGATGGTTCACGCGCCCCTGTTTGGAGGAATTGTGCACGGGTGCATCGATGTGGGTTCTGAGTGGCTTTGTTCCGCCGTGCGAAGGGAAACGGGCAGAGTGTCGAAACAAACCTCGTTCCAGAGACCTGCCTGTGGGGGAATGTCGAGCTTGAGAGCGGGCAGAGGCAGAATTATCTAGATCACAGGGAATGTAAGTTTTTGAAGCGGCCCGTTTGTTCCCGTGGCGCTGTCTGCGTTGGCGAGGCCGCCCGCTCAATAGATATGACGACAATCCTCTTCCAAGGTTGCCACGATTTGAGGTCAGATCCACCGCCGCCCATTAATGTTCTACTACTATCCTTGACCAACGCCCCCAAGTACTGAACCACATCGGACGAGCACGATTGACTTGTTCGAACAACGCATAATGCTCTCTTGCTCGGTGGAGATGCCCATGCGAATTGAAGCAGGTGCAGATCGGCAGGCACAGTGTAAGCGACAAGTGAGGCGTGTTCGACTTTGAATCTCTTGCAGTAGTCCTGCCCTCGCTGTCCGACCGCAGGTGCACTTTTGGGTGAGTCATTGACAACCAACCGCAACGCGATATCGACTCCTTGCAAGCACGGCTCAAGATACCGGCATGGGGCGAGGACGGTGTGGCTTTACCATGATGTTTGGACCGACGCCGTGGATATGCCAGCGCTGAAACTACATGAGAAAACCGGATGGTGCTGATGCGAAGCGGCACAGGGGCAGCGATAGCGTCTCTGCAGTCTACATCATCACATGCATGCTGCGCTTCTCGAGGCCTGATTTGATCGGCGATGCATTGCTTTTGGGAATTCGAAAGATCTCGCCAGGTCGATGGCATGCAAAGGGTGCTAGTCTGCCGAGGAATCACCCCTTCCGACGTCGTCATGCTGCTCAGCAAGGCGCAGGCCCGTGTCGCCGACTACGGCCGGCCTGCGCATAAAGATCAGACACCGCCCCCTCCTCCTTTGTACACCCGCCGTCTTCCTCTGACTCACGTCGTTCAAGAACGAGATGTCTTCACACGGCTCCTCCATCGCCAGCTCCCCCACCACAACGGGCAATCCACTGCCGATTGCTATTCCTACTTACGAAGACCACAAATCGCTTCCGCCAAATGCCACTGCCCAAAGTACACCGCTGCAGGTCGCAATCGATACCGACTTATCGAACGTTGACGACTGCCTACCGCCAAACTGTGAAGCGTCAGACTTGGCCAGAGACAAGTTCAGCGATGCTATATTGATCGACAGCGATGACGACCAAGATGACACGCTCAGCGAGAGCGACAAGTGATCCAGTACGCCTTCGTGTGAGTCTGCTCGCGGTGGCGAGGTCATGCCTATCGACAGCGACGACGATGAAGAAACCCGTGTGCCCAAGGACAGCAACAAGCGATCACGCTCATTTTCGCATGAACCTGCCAATGAACCTGCCAAAAACGGGTCAAACCCAGCAAGCGTTCAGATGTATCGAACCCGCGAACAAGATGGGTGATTGAAGAGATTGTCAGCAGATTCGTGGGTGTTGATGGAACCGTCCTGTATGAGGTATCGTGGGCAGACACCGACATGACTCCAGCCGAGCTGAAACCTCTGCGGAAAGGCGCTAGCAGCGTAATTAGGCGTGAGAACGGTCTACGCAGAGTCAGTTGGTTCAACACATGGGAGCCTCCGGAACATTTAGACAGGTGCGATGATGTCCTCGCCGCTTTCGAAGCCCTGTTGGCTTCAAAGAAAGCTTGACGCGCCCCAGTCGGTCGAGCTGGGTCCTCAGGCGTGTTCGATGGTGTGTTCTATCGTCTCGAGAACTTACCAGGTCGGCACGATGAAGCGAATTCCTTCGTTTGGAGCAGTCAATTGTAGTAAGGGTGATTTGCAGCTGAGTTGCGCATCGGACGATCGAGGAATGGATAAGAACGTGGAAAGATATGACATAAATGATAAATCTCTCTCTCTTCGTCTTCGCACCTTCAAAATTCATCTGATGACGTGCCGAGCGCCAGCCATGAGCTGCTGCGTCAGTGATGAAATGTGACCATCTCGTCACCGAGAGGTCATTTCTGAGCTGCGAGCTTCCGTGGCCTTCCGGAAGGAAATGTTTTGGATTGCAAACGCATCCCTGATCGCTCATTTCTCGCGCACCGCCATCGTGCTGGTCGGGAACTCACTTGTGGAGAACGCGGGTTTAGGCTCGGTGCTCGACGAGAGCCGCGAGACGGACGGGAACATGCGCACTACCAGGGAGATGTATGCGATGATGTCGAGATCTGCGATCTGCAGCCACTTGCGTACGTGTGGCACGTCCTGGTGTATAACGCGCATGATGGTGACGGTGATCATGACCGTGACCAAGAGCTCACTCAAGCGGTACAACGACCTCAACAAGCCGAGCGAACAAGCGGTCAAAATGTGATCGGCGGCGGCAGCCTGCAGCTTCTCTTCCAAGGCCGCGTAAGGAGCGGTGAGTGCTGGGGATCGAATCGCAGGAATGGGCCGCATTTTGGTGCGCAATATCTGCTCTCGTGAGGGACTCCCCGTTATCTGCCTTCATACGATCAGTCTCGTTCCATCACTGATTCCTGCTCCAGACCCAAGAAAACGCAAAACGATCGACTTCCAGATTTCCTACGATCGCCTGAACCATTTGGGGACACGGGCCAGTAGCAAATGGCATTGCTGGGTGGGAGTGAACCACGGACCGACGCTGTAAAGACGGGAAGGGAGCTCGAGGTGAAGATCCTTGATTATCACGACGCTTTGACACGAGGGAACCCCGAGCCATTGGCGTGTGCAACAGGTGCAGTCCATTCATGAAAGCTGGACTTCACGCCACGCGTGCACACAAATGATGACTTGTTGATGATCTGCATTGCCAAGAGCGTACATTGCAGTGGCTTGTTCGAGAGGGACTTGGAGATCGCGGTCGAACATTCGTCACGAAAGTGATGAAATCGTGGGAAATTAATGGTGAATTTGCCACAGTGTGACCAGACGCTGATTTCGAAGGTTCCGTTCCCACGATCTTGGTCCGAGGATTTGGCAGAGAATTTCTGGGCTGAAGGTTTCCAGAACAGAGGTGTTTACGATTGAAGACATCCGCATTGAGCAAATTGCAATTGAAAGTCCTGTCTCCTTATACAGTATTGCCGGGGCCGAGAACGGGAGTTTCGCTGCGCACTGGGATTGCACCTTGCGATGTGAGGATCTCAGAAACGTTGCGGCTAATGACTCTGCCACGCCTCGCTAAAATGTGTGTCTCTATGGGTCGCGGTGCAGACACCACTCGCGGAGCATCCGCTTAACGTATACTTTGCGGTAGGTATGGGGTGTAGCCTCCATATCTTTCCAAATGCCCTGCATGTCGCTTTTGCTTTTTTGCAATGGCTGCACAGACTTTCTCTCAAGAATTTGGCTGGGCTGTGTCAATAACTTGATCTATGTAGTCCAAGCGGCAGCGTGTCTCAACGTCACAGCAAGCCGATCTCTCGTCGCTCTGAACCACATGAGGCTTCATTGAACAATGCCGAAGTGCGGAGCCCGGGGATATCCGCGGCTGCAGATTACGGTCGCCCATAACGAGAAGCAAGCATTTTCTCGAACACGAGTCATGCTGCGGTTGCATTCTTTTCGCAAGGGCGATACCCACCCTCACCCGCGCATTGCGACGAATTAACTTTGCGGCGAAATTTTGTGTGGGTAGTAGTCATGCGCACGCCGCGTGTCCAGCGCGATGCGACCGAGTCCTCATAGAGGTGTCATATCAGTAGACCGCGCTGCAGCAAGCTGCCCCGGTGGAGAAGCCAAAGGCCAAGGGGTCTCTCCGCGCTACACGCACATCCTCCTGGAGGACACCTGGGCACGTACCACAATCAACTACTGCGGCAGGTATTGTGATCTGTGCGCAGGGAACGTCATCGCTCAGTGAGGACTTGCTTTCTTGACTATCTGAGCTGTCTATCTATATACCTCAATATTCGGAAACCCGACTGTCCCTTCAGTCCTCAGATTAATCACCGTGAATCGTCATCGACCGCTTGACCGCTTGATCAGACATTGTGATGCTGCCCAGGTGGGTTTGAGATGTCCAGCTGTTCTAGGAGGGTATTAGGTGCCTCAGGCATCCATGACAACAAACTCGCTGTTGGCCAACAGGCCACCCAGCCCTATCTATAGATCCTCGTCCCCTGGAGCCGACACCGACTTTGGCCTTGCCGCCTTTGATTTCTCCCGCGCCTGCCGGCAGCAAACCTACATAATGTCTCGAACGGACACTCACAGCCGAATAATAAAGGCGACCCTGCAGAGTCTTTGTATCAGCGGTGCCACAGCTCACTATATCGAAAAGAACAAAATTGGTCTTCAATGAGCTCAGCATGAGGGATGGAGAAATCTTCGCGCCCGGTGGTGTGCACCTTCATCATCTCCGCTATTGCAGCGTTGTAGCTTCTTACTATGATGCGAACATCTACTCTAGCTGAGCAATCTCCTGGTTTCGGAATCGATGTCATGCGCCGCAGCGTCTTGAGAACTGAACAAGCAAAGACGCTCCCTTCTACTCGCCACCATAACTTGCTCTAGATTCGTGGCCCTGCTGCTACGCCACAAGCACCAACGTTTATCCATGCGATCGATTACATGCGGGTCCGGAATCCTGTGTCGAGGCTGAGAACGATGGAGATATGGAATCATTCAGACCTGACAGTGACCGATGTCCCGTTGGCATGAAAATTTTCCAACAACTATAGATGAGGGGGAAAACAAGAGCGGAAAGGGACAAAGATGTCAGCAGGACGAATTGGAAATGGCGGAGCCAAGGATACGCGAAGCGCGTGAAGATTGCCTGAGGGTAAAGGCAGGAGAGAACCGTCGGGTCGCCGCCGAAGCACGACACGCTGCCTTGTCACATCGGACGCTACTTCCCTTGACTTGAGGATCACAGGCCTCCACGGAGACAAGGGAGCGACTTGAGGATCACAGGCCTCCAGGGTGCTGAACGCCACACCATCTCTCCTGCACGCCGACCACCACGAAGACGACCAATCGTCTCAGCCAGACGAAACGCGATCATGCGGTCTCAATCCTTCGTTTACAACTCTGCCGTTGACCTCGTGCTTTCGGCACGTGTGAAGTTTTCCTTGCGCAAATCCCAAGCCTTCGTCATTCGCGATTGGAACAGTGCGCATTACAAGAACTCGCTCGAAGTCGCGCTTCGGGTAATTGTGAGGAAGATCTTCGATGAACATAGAGAGGAGCTCCTTCGCAGAAATCACGTCTACTTGTCATTTTTTATTGTGACACAGCCTTTGTTTGTCGATGACAACCGTTCAATGCTGTTCGCTCTCAATGAGCACTGGCAAGGCGAACAGACCACGTTGGTCACAGACGAAGGCGATTTCTAAGATCCTGTGACGAACATTCGGCTGGTGGAGGAGCCGGGACTCACCGAGGAGGAGAGGGGGAGCGATCAAAGAGGCGCATCTCCTTTGGTGATCATGCTGCGCCTAATAGTGAAACGAGTGGCGACGAGAGCCCATTTGTTGGCGTGGGAGAAGGAAATGGCAAGCATGTGGAACAGGCAATCATGTTGATTGGTCACAGTGTTCACTGAAAAAGGTCGAATGAAAACTCAGAGAACCTTTCCTGGTTGGGTTCTGGGCTTCCATACGAAAAATCCTCGTCGATCAGCTCATCGCCGACTTCCTCCGCTGTACGAGCGCCAAACAGATTGTTACCAGCGGCGCCTGTGAGGGACGGTCTCTCTATTCGTGGTTTACGGTGAAGGATCGAGCAGATTTACATCAGTGGCATCTGGACAGGAACCCCTCTTCACCCTGCGATGGTATGGCAGCACGCACACACGAAATCATCCAAGACATTGCTCCGCTCCTGGAAGCGGACCAAGATGGCGAATTAGAGATGGCCGGAGCGTGGCGGAGGAGCAGCAGTCTCAAATAGCCATGCGAAAGTAGATCACAAGGTCCAGATCGGCTCAAGGCGACAAGTCACCCCGCCGTTCGCTTGTGACGGCCGGAATCACTCATAGGCAAGCGCAGACAAGGCATTGCACGCTGTCATCTTGGATTCCATCTCCATCCAAACTTTGTACCTGGACATTATTGGACGTCTTGCAACCTCACCCAAGCCAGCTGTACTGAACCCTACGGCGAGAGTTCTTGCAGGGATTGTTAATCACAACGCGGACGCGAACGACGTGTCGATTGTGATTTTAGCAGCGCACATCGCTCGTATCACGGCCACCTCCACCTTCTGGGGACGATGATGAAGCGGGATGTGACTGCCCCAGGTGCAGGTTCGTGGACACGCTCGTGATCTCCGTGGTGATGAACGGCAGGAGAGAAGATGCCAAGCTGCACACACTTCCACACGCCACACGATGCTGACAGCGATGCGGACGCACTCAGGACAGCGTTTCCCAAACAAGAGGATGGCGTGCTACATGTTCCCCTTTAGCAGCGAGCTGTACGTCTCTTGTTCTCGTACTCGAACGCAGCTCGACCAACTGTACTTGTTGCACTGTGCACGTCATCGGGAGCCAGAACATCGTTCTCGAACGCGCACTGGATGGAGTTTTGAGAACGGACGCGTATGCGTCTACATTTCCACCTGGATCACAAAACGATCAGGCTCGTCTACTTGCCCTCATTTGTGTCTTCGTCCCAGCTCTCGTCGTCGTCGTTCGCCGAGGACGAGCTCATGAACAAGTTGTCAATGGCGGTGATGTTCACGACGGCCTCCACAAACGGCTCGGCACTCGCCGCGCCCCCTATTGTGGCACAACGACTGAATTAAGGTCCTGGCCTGCTCATTTGAGGAAAGCCCACCCGCGTTTCAGCCGATCTCACGACCATAACCATGACCTCGCATGAGTTCGTGACCACGTACTTGCCTCGCTGTCGGTGTCGAAGAAGCTCAGGCTGGCACTCTGGGTCGTTTCCTCGCCCTCGCTCGCTCACCTAAGACTGGACGCCTTAGCCAGCGGGGGTTGAGAAATGAGTGTCGCGCCTGGAGTTGTCCCCCATTCCTGCTTGTACACGGAGTGCCCCATGTTCTCAGCCGTGGTTCTTTGTGATACATATAGTCGGCCACGAACGTTCGTTCGTCTTGAATCTCGTCCTCCTCCACGTTTTTCCAACTCCGTCATGAGGTCCATGATCATCGTCTGGCTCCTTGTGAACTCAATTGTAGTCCTGCAGACCTTTTTGCGCGCGAACAAGGTCTGGTGCGTGGCACTGTTGACACCGTCGATCACAATCGTGTGCTGGGACACGGCTGGCCCAATAGGCTCCTGTTCGTGTAGAAGTGCGGATCTTTCTTTTGTCTCGCGCCTCTATCCTGGTGCCCGCTCTTGTTCCGTTATTGTTTAGAGTCTGAACGAGTTGATCTCCATAATCCTCTGGTCGGTAGCGATACTTCTGCTCGCCTTCGTGTTCGAGTCGATCGTTTGGGCATACGCGGCTTCGTTCTAGTTCGCATCGTCGATCTTCTTGCCACTCTCAAGTCCATGGGCATCTCCATGGCTTCGATCTCGTGGTCGTTGGTAGTGGTGTCCATACTCTCGATCGAGCTGGTCGTCAGAATCAAGAAATGGTCAGTTGTTTCCGTCTCAGCACCCAGCTCTTCCACGAGTCCGCCTTGATGAACTTCTCCAATGTCTCGTCCTGGTACCCGTTGAAGCCCGCCGCCATTCTCCTGTGCGATGATCGTCGGGTTCCGGATATTGTACAAGCTCATTGACGAGAGCTCATCAACCGATACGAGCCTACGACCTGGTCCATGCTCCTATCCGCGCTCACCACCCCGAGCTTTTCCCGTATGCGGAGTGGATCAGGACCGTCTTTGTGATTCACTTCTCCTACACTCCGAGGACAGCGACCAGGCTATGTAGGCTTTGGAGACCGTGTCCGTGATTATTGGCAACGATTTGACGAACGCCACGCCCGACTCCAAAGCACGAATACGATTAGCTGAGCATCACCGCGATTTTGGTCTAGGGGCCTTGCTTTCGCACAACGACATGATCTGGCTCATGATCTAGATTGAGGGCCTGCATCCGACGCACATATGGCCGACGAGTGCGCGAGCCAGCCAAGCTCACGGTCCTGGCGTACAACTCTTTGCCTCGCTTGCTGAAAGCCGAACGTATGGGTCGTATCGATGATAGAATAACATCGCACCAAGAAATTTCCATGGCGAAACTCGTTCCGCAAATTGCGCCTCTGTGTGTTCCTGTGCTTCTGAGAGTTCGTCTTCCCTGATTGCATTGCATTTACCCCGCTACCCATATGATGTGCGGCATCTGCAGGTAGGTGAGACGGAGTAGGGAATGCGAGAGCTACGTGGTGATTCAACACTTTCGCGTTCGTGAGCGAGCTGTCGTCCGGCTCAGCTGATCTTGTAGAGGCCGATAACCGAGACGATTCTGTAAGGTGTGAACGGATGCCACGCTAGAGGCGAACAGGAATGCATTGCATCAATTGACAAGAGGCGGTCAAGGGTCTCTGGCAAGGATAAATGGGGACGGTCACCCCCGCAAGTTGATGGTTCTCACAACGCTGCCTCAGAACGTTTTAACCGCGGATACCGTCGGACACAACTTACGTCATGCCTGTCGATACCGAGAATACCAAAGTGCCTCATGACGTGACAACTTTGTTGCGAACGCTCCTCACCAGGGTGCTTGATCGTCTGTTCGACACACATGATACTCGGACTGCAGGAATGCTGAAGGAAAAGCTCAAGATATGTACTAGGCTAGAGACGGTCGACGAAAACCTCAAGCGCTTTTTGGGCGACGTCAGTAAACCAGGGCCAGGAGTGGAAAGATTGAGAGCCATAATGAAAGAATTTGACATGGAAAGGGGACCGAGAAGCAAGGTTCAGAAGCAGACAAGTGAGGTCGAGCAACAGCCAAATGCCGCACATATGGTGATTTTTATGGCTCCTATCATACTGGTAGTCATGGACAAGGAAACAGCTGACATGCATGGCCTGCGCATCTGTGAGATGGGCATGATTTTCGACATCGATTGCGACACTTTCAAGGGCATGATCCAAAGGTTGAAGACCGCAAAACTCTCCGACCATCAACTTCTGCTCGGCATCTTGGACAGCAATGAGGAGACCAGAAAACCCTTTCCCACTCAACTTCTGCCAGACATCCAGCGACTGTGGACAGCGAGGCGGATAGAGGGCTGATTCGCGATATCATGCCAGCTGATCAGAATGGGCACCTATTTCAAAGCCGCTCCGACACGCACATAGCCAGGAGGCGAATACCAAGGAGCTGCCCTTTGATGAATGCGGGTTTCGAAGGGCCGTTTCGCAGGAATCGGCGTTGATCTCTTTCTGGCAAGGCTTTGTCTGCTACTGCTCAAACCGCAGCAGCATAGGTCTCAATTTCTCGAACAGATAATGTCTGTCTATAGCGAGAAAACACACCTACGATATCACTCCTTACTGTCAGACTATCGACATCCGTGATACGACTGGGTTGTCCGCAACTGGATCGCATGGCGGTAGATGATCGTTGAACATCCTGGCATTCACAATAGTGCATGTTTTGCCACGTCAAACCCGAATGTACCATCGAGCGACCGTTGACCAAATTTCCGAGCGGACCCTGTCACGGTCCTCCTAGGAGATGACATATTTTGATCTACAAGGGTTGTCGGCGGCTACAGTCTTTGTCTGCTCATGCTGCAAGTGACTGTAGTCAGTGCATGAAAATGTGCATGGGCATGAGCACACATTTATACCGCACAACATGCCATGCTGCCTTCGTTGTTCCACAACTCTCCGTCGCTCAATCGTGGTTATCACAACCTCTGTCACTCCTTTCAAGACTCACAAACGTCGCGCTTCTCACCCGCTCTGTCGCTCCTTTCAAGACTCGCAATCGTCCCGCTGCTCAAACTGTCTTATCGGACGACGCCGAAATCACGAACTACCAAACAACTCAACTTTCAGCCTCCGCGTTTCAGTCCTCACAGGAACCCATGTTCGGCTCTCCATACCATGGTGGCTATTCCGCCCACTTCACAGCTTTGTCTCTCATCAGAGCCATTCTCTGGCACGTCGTCTACATAATTACGACGTTGCATTCCCTTTCCAGCTTCGTTGACTGGCGCGGTCGCACGACTTCTTTTGTCAACCGCGGAGAATCTTTCTGGAAAACCGAAATGGAGATCGCGATGGAGCTCACTATCCACACCTCTATCTTGACCATTCTGGCTGTCCTGCGATGGCTTCTCAGGGATATGGACTTGGTCCTGATGTTGTTGTTCGCGCAAATACTCTCGACAGCAGTACTGGCTTCCCTTGCGTCCACTTCTGAAAAGCAGCCCGCGCTATCTGCAACTACTGGAGAAGAGGCGCCACCAAGGGGAGAAAAGTGCGCCTACAGCATTGTATAATTGCGATGTTGTTACATATACCAACTTGCATCGCTCTGTCAAGTGCTATCATCGGCTTCGGGTCTGTCAGCAATGACAGCAATTTGTCCTCCACTCGATTTACTGCTGCGGGTGTGTGGAGACCACGGCAATAGCTAATACTTTAATACATCTTATCGCGCAATCATCAAATGTCTGTGGTCGTGCTTGGCTGTGATGTTCCAGACGCCGCTCAGACCAAGCACATGATGAAGCTGTGTCTTGCAGGGGCCACGCAGAGGATGACTGAGCGCAACGGCTGCACAAAGATAGAAGGTGGGTAATGGAATGAGGCGTGGTCCAGGTCTTTCTCGCCATCCCAGAAGCAAATGCAAGCGACGTGGCAATTATGAAGTGCTGAAGTGCTGTGGTGACGTGCGCAGTCAGAATTGGCTCAGGTCCGGCGCGTGCGCCCGCCGATTCGTTAGTGCCACGGGCCGCCCTCCGTGTGGCAGCGCGCGAAGGACTAACCTGGAGGGTTTGGTTAGGGCGGGCTATTCTGGCGATTGCTGGTGATTGCTGGTGATCGGAGGTGATCGGAGGTGATTGGGGGCGATGGGGGGGACACTGAAACCGTTGAGACGCTACGCACGCACGCACGCAAATCTATTTTCCCGCCCGGGCGTCGAGCACTGCAACGTGCAACGTGCTTTGACGATAGGCTGCAACGGCTCATGGAAGTGCGCATGCCTACAATTTTGTACCACTTTCTCACACCATTACCCAAGATTGGCGTCCCGGCACACCACCAGGTTTTTCCGGACATGAATGCAACCGCTGATAACGATGCGTCCACAGTCTACTGCGGACAGCCTCATCACGCCACACATGTATCGATCAGCTCGCGACCGACAAAGATCACTTTGAGCAGGACGCCCGCAACACCGTAATCTCGGTGACGGGCCCTCCGCATCAGGAAACAGGCGCAGCCGCGTCCGGAATGGCGCCCAGGCTGCACGGGGTGTAGGGTCCGTGCGCGGACGGGTTTGCATAACTTCGCGGCGCGCCCCGGTCTCGCGTCGCCTTGCTCTTGTCTTCCATCATGCCCACCGCGCTCGCACGCGCCCGCCGGCCTCCCTCGCGTGCCCGGACACGAGCGGCTTCGCCGCATGGCCGACTTCTCGCGGCGCCTACCCTACCACGATGACGACACGCGCTCTCAGACAAAAGTCGCTCTCGACTACATTATCGGTTCCACCCCACCCCCGTCGGGAGTCTGTCCGCCGTTTTCGTGCGCCAGCGCTGGGAAAATGGCCGACCAGTCGACCACCCTGAGCTACACCCCGACCACGGATGGTGGTCGGCCGCGAGTCTCGCACAGCAGAACGGCCACCTACACCCCACGCTCTCGCCCGGCTGAAATCGACTGCGCCCCCTCAACCGCACTGTTTCTAGGCAGCAACATTCGGCGTCGCCGACCGGCATCAGCGGAGCTCGCATGCATACAAATTCCTACCTCGGCTGCAACATGACAGGACCGAAAACGGAGCGGCCTCAAATAAGCGAGCTTGTTGGATGATTGTCCCGCCCGAAGCGGAGTCTAGTAGTCCAATGGCGGACATCGAAATGAGTTTGGGCCGTTCGTGCGCATGCGCGATTTTGCGACAACACGCCCGTGCACATTCGCGCGCGCGGAAATGAGCAACAACTTACGGATAACAGGATTTCGCGGCAAAGCAGATTCTCCAATCTCCGCAAATGCCACGTCATCCTGCCCACCTTCGGCGATTCACAAGTCACTGCATGCTGGACATTGCAGGAGTGACTCCTGACACCATTGAGTCATACCTACCTACCACTCATTTGAGACGAGCGGTTAGGAAACGAACCCCCACCCTGCACTCCTGTCACTGCGCCGACATGGACATCGAACGCGTCGACGAGTGAGGCCAAGAGCGGTGCTGAACCAATCGTTACCTGGGGTTTATTTTTAAGATTGCAACGAGCGTCAATCCGGCGGCACGCAAGTCTCACACCCTTCATTGCAGCACACCCCCACCACGACACAGCCTCCACACCGGCATATTGCAGGGATGCCACTTCGGTCCTTAGGCTACTGGTTGGTTGAGAGAAGGTGCAGCTGTTGGGATACGATGCTGCCTGGGGGCCCGGTGGCTCAGATTGCGACCAGGTAAAGAGAACACGCAGTCGGAACGCGGTTCTGTTCGCGAGGATCGGCGGCTTGCAAGGCGCGGCGCGGCGTGAGAAAGCAAATATGCCCAACATTGAGATAACGCGTGCCGATGCCACCCCAGGGCTCGGCGAGCCTCGGAGATCCATGACACATATATGGAGAAAGCGGTCCGCATATTCTCCATCGCTCACTCACTCGATTTCGCACAATTTTGGGAATGAGCAGAAATTTCGTGCATCTCATTGAATTGCACCGATCCGTGGGGCAACCGACTTTCAGCTTTCACGCGTGCTGAGACTTTGTTCCCCAATCATTGCCACCTTCACTACCAGCAACATTCTACAGATTGTCTTGCGACACCAAGTGCAGCATGCACTTTCACGACAAGGAATCCTTTGAGTTGTACCACACTCTCGATATTTGGTCACCTGTGACACAGCCTCAAGAACTCCGTATCAACGTATTCACCTCCAAGTCGTACCTGGAACTCAAAGCAAGAGACCGTACGAGAGACCGGAAGAAGACGCAGAAGTCGCAATCTGCGACATGCGAGCGGCTGGACACTGAGGGTCACCTGAGCGTTGAGTCGATCTTTGAGGGTCCTCAATCGCCCGCCCGCTGTAACATAACCTTGGACCGAGCGGCGAGCCACACGATTGAGAAATCATGCGTCCGGGAAGCATTTCGTCGTACCATGTACGACGATGTGGACCTGGCAGGTACTACGATACCATTCACCCAGCAAGCCAATGCTGCTCAGGCTGCGCTTGGATTGTTATCTTGCGATAGCCAGGCAGCACCATGTCTGTCTCCAATTTTTCCAGCACATGCATCCATCAAGCAGGGACACATCGAGCCGTTGTCTCCGCCCAATATCGGCAGTACTCCGCCTGCCACATCCATTCCCTTTCGTCAAAGCCCCGGAAATTCTACCACTGGTCTGGAATGCGACCACCCATTGCTCCCAGACTCCTGTCCGGATAAGATCGCAGCCAACCTCGACGACGACCTCAATAGCGCCGACTCTATTGAGGACCGGAATCGACGCAAGGAGAAGAGTCCACTTCATCTGCGCAATGATACTTCCTTGAATCGACTTGATTTGCCGATATCAGGTTTGGAGCATGAAGAGGCGGTGAAATGCCATCAGCCACTAAAGAGGGCAAACGATCGCCATTTCATTGCTGCACAAAAGCAGCAAACTCATGGGCTCAATGACGACCGCACGGCTACATCGGTACGATCTTATTCACGGTTGCGTGCGAAGCGCACACCACGTAAGCTGTCTGCAAGTACACATCACAAACAGGCTACGATTGAGCCAAAGAAGACCACACGCGACAAGAATGTCAAGAATTTGGGTTTTATTCATTCTCTCTTATCTGATAAAACGCCACCACGCAAGTCACGATGCGGTCGTTCAATTGTTCGACCACGGAGACACCTGCCAGAGGAGGGCTACGCTTAGGTGTGCCTAGCCGTATTGGGCACTTTTCCCGCCTCTCGGCCACACCTACTCTTGCTTAACAATGCCGTGGCTGAGCCTGACTCTTCCGCGGTCATCGCAGATCGGAGTAAGATTGCATATGGGCTGGTGAATCTGGCTTTTTCGCAGGAGCCACATGTTTGATGCTGTGCAATGAATCGCTCCAAGAACATGTTTCATTTAAGCGCAATTGCGCTATATTCGCCTTAAAAATGACATATTGGCAGTGGTATATTAACCTTAGATTTTCGTCTCCGGCAGGCCTGACATGCGCTCTCAATTAATGTTCTTTTCGTGTTGTTCATAGCCTTGTCGTGGCATATAACAACGGAAGACATGTGTGCAGCCGGCAGTAGACTTTTAGCAGGGAATTTGCAGTGAGTAGAGACAGATGGCGCGCTCGAGACAGTAGTGGAGGGATCGGTGCTTATAATTCTCAGAAAACTGATCGCATGTTCATAATTTCACGTGACTGTGCATCGCCGATCTGCATCGCCGATTGGGGAGATGGAAAGCCATAGCCCGCTCCAGAATTGTGTCTTCGTGACAGGCTGGGAGAACACGATACCTTCGAAAATCGATGAGTGGCGAACGGAATTCTGTGCGATATGCACAAGACTGCTATCTTTTTGCAATCTCTTTGGTAAGCCCACTGCTGATTGCTGTGCGTGACTTCTCGGTATTGCAATCGTCGGGCTGGACGCCTCGATCCAGTTGTATGAAGCAAGGTGTTGAACCTGACTAATGCATGCATGGAGTCACAATGAAGTGAAGATGTTCTATCTGAATAATTGCGACTCGGGCGCATCATAACATCGTAATTGTACTCAGCGTATGATTTAAACCCATAGTTCTCTTCAAACTCATCGTAGCTACGGCTCCCCTAACAAAACCATCGATCAATAGGTCAAACGTGCTCAAATTATCCAGACTTGCGAAGCGTATTACCAACGGTATGCCGCACATTGCCCGTGCACTGCTATACGATGGCTGACCACTCCACAATTAGCAAACGGTAGTACAATGCAGTACAACCATCTTGCAAGCGAACATGACACCGGTGGCTTATGGAGAAGTCGGTGACCCTCGTTCCGCCTGGTTATTCCTCCTTGCCTTAGCTAAGTTCTTCAAGCCGACCACTACCATCAGCACGAGATCGAATCCGATTATGAGGAGTTCTATCAAGAGCAGTAAGGGTTCGGCTATGCTCCATTCTCCCTTGGTCAGATTGTCTTCTGCTTCAGGATGCTGACACGGCGCGGTGACTTGGCAGGATTGCTCTCGTTGCAAACAATCTACTTGACATCCTGCTTCGCATAGAGCGCAAAATCGATGCTCTCGCGCTTACGCTGAAAGCTCAATCGCATTCAGATCAGTAACCACGACCCTTGAATTTTCTCAAGAGCTTTCCGTGCAAACATCATTGTTGACTGGATAAATTCGAGCAGGAAGCAGAACACGCATGGCATATGGAGCAATTCATCGAGGCCATAAACACCACATTCCACACGACGCCGGAAAGCGATTCGCGCTTACGGACGGCAATCAAGGGGTTGATCATTCAGAACCACGACAAACTGGTCGACGATCCTGCTTTCGCTGAAACGATTGATCATATTGATGGCTTTGGCTTCGACCTGTTTAAAGAATTTTGTCATCGCACAAAGGCACAACGCGTATGTCGCATTTGTCAAGGAATCTTTCAGAGTGTTTGTGCTTACAAGGGGTGCTCACACCCCGTAACTGGATTTGGAAGGCCGATTGGATGTGATAAGCAAGGTCCTTGTGGGAAGTGTAGATAGTACTGAAAGGAGAATTCGATGGTGTGGGACGCGCCGCATTTCCGTGGAGCGGCGATGGGCACTGCAAACCTGCACCGCAACCTAGAGTAACTTAAGCCACGTGATCATCGGGTCAGCAGTGTAAACAGTCATTGCAGCGATACAGACCTTCAGCGAATATGCAGATGCTCAACCTGGTTCGAGCATGCGCAGGCACAGCGCGCACGGTCCATACTGAGTCGGATTCAGTATGGACCGTGCACACTGTGCTTGGTCGATGACGTAACGGTTAAAATGGGTCACCATTCTTGATCATGTCTTCCCCCCAACCGATGCAATCACGGGCAGTGTCATTGTTGTCCCAATTATCGAAGTCGTCGCTCAAATCGTCCGTAGGGAGGTTATCATTCCACTAGTCCGTTGCTTCCTCGATGTCTGCATCACTCCATGGCCCGGCAGCTTGGCTCTTACTACGACCGTTTTCACCCGTTCATTGACTCAACTTTCGAATTCTCATGTATGTGCAGTCGATGCGCCCGAACGCGTCGCAAGTTTTGCATCTCAGAATCCGTCCCGTGACGTACCGCGTTCTTCCCATTGCAATTCCTAACTTAGCCTTACTACACCTGCGATCAGATTTTTGCCGTCGAAAGGCCCTGAAGATTGTTCGATCTATCATGGAAGTCTCTCAAAATACAATCCACCTGCCTTCGTAAAGGACAGTCAGAGCCTGCGTCGCATTGGTGTTTCAGACCACGCTTTGCCGATTCCAGTCGTGCGAGGATGTCCATAAAGGACTCTGAGCTATGAAATGCTTCATGTCCCCACAGCCCGGCCTGCCTGAGGAGGACGAAATACTCTGCAACACGAAGTTCGCTGGTGCAGTAAAGAGTTCGCAACTCGGAAAAGCCGTGACATGGGTGGCACTTCTGTGCGCCTGCTGGATGCCGCCTTCCGCAGTTGAGACATTCCACATATTTCATAGCATTTGCCTTTTTGATCTTGCCCAAGTCAGACTCAGCATCCGACATCGTGCCGCGAATCCAATCCAAGTTGTCTTCAATCTTGCTGATGAGATCATCTGCATCGAGAATTAGTACTCTGTACTATGCGATATCTCGAATGAGGAGGAAACTCACTCTCCAGATACGAAGGAAGGAGCGACAACAACTCGTGGTTTTCCCAGGACTCCACATTGGAAATAGAGAGCTCTTTGATTGCAGACTTTGACGTCTCTGTAAAATTGGACGACTTCATCGTGAAGTCTATCAGAAGCCGCAACCCGATATCGACCGGACTACTGGTCAGCTCTAGACTCATGAGCCAGTAGGCTAGCCAAGGTCGAAAGATTCGAGTACAGTCGTATTTGTCACTAAGAATTGCGATTCTCGCAGTTCGATCGAGGTTTTCCGGACCCGTTGCTCCTGGGCAATGGTGGAGAACTCGTAAGATGTTTTCCATTGCATTGTGATCATCATTGGTGAGATTGATTCGAGGTTTCTCTCCAGCCAGAATTGCTTGCGCCTCATTCATGTCACCACGTAGGAGTTTCTTGAATACTGGGGAAGCAAGGGCAAGAGTCTGCGTACAGATTTGGAAATCCTCTAGCACGCCATCTTGAGGTGTTCCAAGACCAAGGAAGGCATCTCCTTCGGGGCACAAGTTGGTTATCAATAGAGCGGACGGCACGTGATCAACTCTCGCTGAATGCTTGTTGTTCTTGATGTCAGCAGGTAGCTCAGGCCTTGAGATACTCACGCTGGCGTACTTCATTGCACTCCATGTCAATTATATTCCTTTTAGGTCGTAAAAAGCTCAATGGGAGCGTTGAAGTGTAGCGAATGAGGAGCAGAACTCGTTGCTCATGTACGCCGCCTGAGATCGCTGGAGATTGTTTGCGTTCTTCGGTAAAACGCATGGCTTCCCGCACAATACTTGACAGAGGGTGCCAGACTCATATCTCAAGCGCGGTCTATTCAATTGGGCCTGGTGGAGCTGCTGTCCAAGCTTCGTACCATCGATGTCTAGCTTGATAGGTACCTAACCCCTCCGATAGTGTGAAAAGTCATTGCAGCAATGATGGCCTTCGATAAAGCGACGCGTAGATACGTAACCTGACCAAACATCTACACACCGCCTCGCCGCCCGCGGATGCTAGACAAGATCGAGCACGCACTGCCTCGCGTGTGGCACAGTGTTTCAGTCATCGTACCTGGGGTTGATACCGATGACAATTTGGTATCGCTTTCTCCTCGCACTGGTGCGCCGTGGTTCTAGACTCGAAACAGCGTTAAAAGCCTATTAGTGATCAACGAACAATGGCGGAATCTCCGACGCTAAAATACTATACGGCTATTTAGCGCAAAACAGCGCCGAGAGAGACATCGACCATGTCTATGTGATGCTCCCGATGACAAGACTTTATGCTCCCTTTAATGCTCCTGATTACGATATCAACTTCAAAGAAAATCGTCATATCCATCGCAAAATACGACATCTCATTGAAGAGAAAATGTCATTCAAAACGCTCGAACGACGCTCCTTGCGTCCGAAAGCGGAGATCTTTCAACGAAAAAAAAAAAAAGGAAACAGCTGACTCCGTGGCAGCGGGATCCAGTCTTTGCCACTTCAGGATACTCGTCGAACATTGGCTCACCAGAGACCTGCGACTTTCGTGTCATGAGGTCGCATGAATTTTGTTGTGTATGGCTAATGCTTGTACCAACCGTTCTCGTTGACACCGGTACTAGGCCGCGAATCCGCGGGCAACCCTAATTCTAGCAATGGAGAGCACTGTGAATGTCTTCAATTCTTATCGCATGGACGAGTGAGCGCAGCAGCCAGTAGGGAGGTAGTATGTAGCTCCAATATGCATATGCATATCCTGTACTCACACGTTCATTGACCACGTTCATTGGCCCATCCTTCCCAACAGTCTCGCGCACATGCAGGACAAGGGCGAGATTCGTACAGATGAAAATCGTGTCGCTTTCTAAATATGACCCATTACCTCCATTCACACTGTTACACCACCAAGTTCTTCACCTCACTCATTGCACAATGGCGATGCCTCAAGCTCTCAACATGGCGGATCTTATGAATCTCCATCCTGCGAAGCATCTTGAGCTTCTTGATGTTGTGGATAAGCTAAGAGCCCCGGGTCTAAATGAGCATGTTGATCTCCCACAGCTGATTGTGTGTGGAGATTAATCCAGCGGCAAGAGTTCTGTGGAGAGTTCCTTGCGCAGCTACGTGCATATGGCACCCCATTGTTTTATCCTCTACCTGTACTCATGCAGATGCATATGCTGAACCAAGGATATATCTATCACGACATCAAATACCTATCGTGAGGCGGTGTAGATGAGCCATGGGGCATGAAGCAATTTATTCTGGGGCTCAAAAATACCACCTGACACACCCCGACTTGAGTCGTTGCTGATTTCGTATGTGCAAGAGTCGTGGTTATGCTTCAATCCTGTACCATGGGGGGTCGTCGCAAGATCTATAGAAGTCACCCGGATCGACAGCAGAGCAGGTCAAACCCGCCTTTATGGTATGATGAGGCTACACCTCTACCCAAAAGACGGAAGCCTTATATACTCGACGTCTTCCGAAGACTGCCCGCACTCACCTTCATACAGCATCAAGTCAACTTAACACAAACGCTCAGAGCTACGATTCACTCTATTATTTTAAGCTCCCTTACGCAGACCTAGTGTAGACAGACAGACCAATGATGGACCCAAAGGAAACAGCACACGTGGTTTTCATCGACTCGTTACCTACCCTTCTGGACATGCTCAAGAATCTTATTGCCCCTCATGCAAAGCAGCCCGACTTGTTCTTTGACCTTGAAGGCATCAATCTTGGCCGTTCAGGGACGATTTCGATCTGTACGATCTATGTCAGGTCTCGCGACACTGCCTTCCTTGTTGACGTGGAGGCTTTGGGAGGTTCGGCTTTCGACACCAAACACCCAAATGGATGGTCTTTGCGATCGGTTTTTGAGTGTCCGAATATTGCGAAAGCCGTGTTCGACATTCGAAATGACTCAGATGCACTTTACAGTCTCTTCCAAATCTCAGTCTCAGACATCGAAGACATTCAGCTGATGGAGTTGGGCGCACGAAAAGGGAGCAAGAAGTACGTCGCAAGTCTCAAAAAGTGTGTACAACAAGAGTGCCCAGATGATGTGCATGTTGCGTGGACCCAGACAAAAGATACGGTTACAAGTCTGTTCGACGCAGTACAGGGTGGAGGATACGAAATATTCAGCAAGCGACCACTTGAACCTCACGTTTTGGAATATTGTGCCCAAGATGCCGCCATACTACCTCATCTTCACGATATCTACAGGAAGAAGCTGCATCAAGTGGGACAGCTTTTTTGGCAAACCCGAGTGAAACATGCAACAACCGAGCGCATCAAGCTCTCACAGAGTGTTGCTTACAACGGTCATAGTAAGAGCCAAGCTGCGGGGCCATGGAGTGAAGCATACATCGAGGAAGCAATGGACCAGTGGAATGATGATATCCTTACGGATGATTCGGGCGACGGCTTCGATGATTGGGACGACGGAGACACTGCACGTGATTGCATGGGCTGGGAGGAAGACATGATCAAGAATGGTGAACCATTTTAACCATTACGTCATCTACTAAGCATAGCGTGCACGCGGATGGCAAGGAGCTGGGTGCTACTACTCACTCAGGCTGCGCGTATCTCGGGGTACGACCGCTACCTGTACTTTTCACAAACGCGACCGTGGCCCGTATGATTACTATGTTTGGACGCCATCTCTCTCCATAAATCGATTTCCATGATTTCGGATCGATTTTTGAATTTGACCTCCCAGAAGAAAGGAGAGGTCGCCCCACCGCTCGCCTACTGCGTCTTGTAACTGCTATCTCTGGGAGGCCCACAGCGGACAATGCAAAATGACATGGTTGACCGACTCCACGCCGCGCTCGCATTCGCAGGTGGCGCTGTCCGCTTGATGAGTGCACGCGAGGTATTCCCGCAGGTGTGTGTAACCTGTTCGTGCCTGTGCCAAGATCCCAGCCTCCTCCCGGGTGAACGCATCGTATGACTGCAGCGTGTGCCGTCCAGGGAGCGCGACTTGGAGGGCGAGCAGCACTTGTGATTCGACAATTCCTTCACCGGAGTATGCATAGGCAGGCGAATCAAACTGCTAGGGGGGCATACCTGCATGCAATGTGTTCGGAGCTTCGTGTTGCGGGATAATTGAAATCAAGGGTGAGCCACACGTAACTTTAGTTCATCTATTGGCAAGTCCCACTTGAATGTCACTGCCGAATCCAACTCTTCCAACTCGATCCCACCGCGCCAGGACCCAGGAGCCTCGAAATGGCTACGGCGGGAGTAGTCGAGATCGCTCGCTCAGATTTGATACCGTCAGAACTTTCCGAGAATGCAACCATTAGTCAGGTTCAGCACCTTGCTTCATACAACTGGATCGAGGCGCCCATCCCGACGATTGCAATACCGGGAAGTCCTGCGCAGTGGTTAGAAGTGAGCTCACCAAAGAGATTGCAAAAAGATAGCGGTCTTGTGTATATCGCACAGAATTCCGCTCGCCACCCAGAGAGCCCCCTTGAGCCGCTTTTCCGGGCTTTGCAAATCGAGAGACCCGACTTTGATTCCAGTGAGGTCGACATCATCAGTGACCGGAACAATTTCCGAAAGCTTTTGTCATTTGTGGATCCTAAAACTAGCAGGAACGGGCTGGAAAATTTTACCATCAAAGCTGAGATCATTGGTAGTGCTGTACTATTGTGTCGAGATGAGGCAGTGGTCCAGGAAACGATCGGCCCAGATGAATTTAGAGGCTATGGCCATGAGTTCGAAAAGTCATACACAACAAACCCGATCGTTGAAAGCACCGGACACCACAGAATCATTGGATATCAGTTTGGAAATCTGAGCTGGATAATTCGTCACGAAACAGATGGTTTCGTGCAAGATCTTCACGCGTCCGAAGGCTCAGCACAAAACGCAGATATACTGAGTTTGATGAAAAATTTGGCAATCTCACCTTCCAACACGCCAGTGAAAGCTTTCCCAGGATCTAAACTCACTCTCAAGCTTTGCGGACAAGCGGTACCACTGGGATCAACCCTGGAGATCAAGACTCGTGTCGCCCATAAACAAATTTCGATCGATGAAGTAGCCCCGCAGTTGTGGCTGTCGCAAACTCCGTACCTTGTCCGAGCATATCACAACAAGGGCACTTTTCAAGTACCTGAGGTCAAGGATGTCCGAGCGGAAATCCGGGCATGGGAAAGAAACCACCAAACCCAGCTGAAAATGTTAGCAGGACTAACGGTTAAAATCATCGAGATGGTCAAAAAGTTCAAGCAAGCGACGATCCAGTACCGTACTGACACCAACACTTTGACCATCAGGTCTGAGATGCATGCAACCATGCTCCCGAAAGATTTGTATCTTGTCTGGGATGAACATATTCCATTCCGAATTTCCGTCAAGGCCGATAAGGAGGCCCCCGAGAAGGTAAAATTTGTTTGGCTTCTCGTTATTGTATCTTTCTGACATAAAGATGCCGTAGATACCAGTCGTCAACTTCGAAAAAAAGCTGGCCGACACAACAATCCGGATTGGAGATAAGTCATACGAGATACCGCTGGGCAAGTTTCCAGTCCTGCAATCATTCGTCGTCGCTGAGAGGCAGAAATCTGTGACAACGGTGATCACACATCAGCAAATTCCACTTTTCGACATTGCGCTGGAGGGTGTCACGTCTGGGTTTCGACAGTGTATCCGTAGACTCGGGAGTGATCTGAATTCCTACCAACAACTCTGTGTCACCTACGACAATCTTGGCGTTGATGTTCTCGAAGGCCAATCACTGGGCAACATCTTCTCGAATATTAAAGCTGTTAATCAGAACCCTGCCGACGAAACGAAACGAAACAAAAGACTTGCAAGAGATTCAGTGTTCAGGCTAATCTATTACTTGTTAAAAGCAGAATCTTTCAGCAAAGGCATCGAGAGCAACAAGATCTATAATGCCGTGATATTTGTCGTTTCCCATCCGCGGACCTTCCGGCACAAAGCTCGGTGCATCGCCCGTGTCGCATACGACTTTCGAATGTGCCCATCGGCGAAACAAAGCGCGACCCTGAACAAGTGGGACAAGAATGAAGATCCAGATGATGTCGACTGTACAACCGATTCGGACATCTCAGACTTCTACTATTACGACTCAAGTGATAGCTGAAGAGCCGTGGTACGTCATCAGTGGCTTTAAAACTCTGGTACTAAGACATGTAGCCACATGTTAAAATTGCACTGCCATCCTATAGCGGAGTAGCATCAATCAAGATAGCTCATCAACCAGAAAATTCACTTTCGTTTGCAACCCTCTATGATAATCAATTCCGAAGTTGTCTACTGTTCTGCAGTATAAGTTAGAAGCGACCGCAGTACAACCTATAAGCTTGGCAATATTCTCAGCAACTGTGTGTGATCTCGATACCCCTTCGGAATTTGCGCTGAGTGTTATAGTCTGGGACAAAGCGACACGCGAAGAGAAGAAAACGAGTAGACGCGGTTGACCGCATTACATGTAGGATGACCTATCGTTAACATATTTGGTGGTACCACCTGTGGCTGCAACGGCTCACCCTTGCTCAGCTGCGACCAACTAACACAAGGCTTGATAACACTTGAAGCGCCAAAGATAATCTGTCGATAATAGGAAACATGCCTGCATGGTTTCGGGACGGCGCTACCGCACAATTTGACTTCATAGCCTCTCCCTACTCTCGTATAAGAGGGCTGCATAGCAGATCGTCAGTGAAAGCGATAGCTGTACAGGCACTGATGCGTTCTGGAGATCAGACGCATGTTGCCACTCAAATATCCATAGGAAAAAGAAAAGTAGTCCAGGAAAGTTGCATACGACCCCATATGTCAGGACCCAGCCGAAGCATCTCTTTTCTCTCGCATATATGCCCCAGAAAATCTCGCGCTTGCTGTCCTGGACAATTACCTGCCTTCTCTTGGGGAGAGATTTCAGATGCTCGTTCTTAAGTAACTCAGGAGCGATCCTGTCCAGACAGAATGATCTCCATGTGCGGTTATTCGAATGGGGATTGTAGAAATGGGCATGGAATTGTGATTTTGGTATCGGTCCGCTAGGGGGTCGGAAATCGATCGGACGTGGAGTGAAGTCGTAAGTGAGATCCGCATCTAGTGGAAAATCGACACGAACCGGTTCGCTCTGATCGATGCCGTACTTGTGGAACTATTCATAAGAATTAGTGTCGCCGTTCCAAATACTAGCTGAAGTTTCCAGCTTACACGGAAAAACTCGCAATGATCATAACGCCACATAGAAAAGCACGTTCTTAGTATGCCTCGATTCCCAAGGTATGCTTTCTTTAATTCGGAAAAGAATTCGACGTCGGTTTCCATCAGGTCAGTTCTGATGGCAGAAACCCTGTAGGAGGTCCCCAACTTTACACAAAAATACACATGACTCCGATCTGTCAGAGATTGATCAACTTCGCAGACGAATCGCCGTTTGTTAGAGGATCTCAAGGGCATATCGTACTTTGGCTTGGCTGCAGAGTCTTGTGGCGAATTTACCGATGCACCGATAGCAGAGGCCATTTTTACATTCGTATCGGTAGTAGAGCCTTTCGTTGCACCCGAAGTTTTGCCCTCGTCGCTCGAGCTTGTAAGACCAGAGTCCGGTAATAGTATGAATGGCGGCGCTGACCTCAACGTTTCCTGTACTGCAAATGCTGCTTGATTTGGCAAATCGGCATGCAGAGGCTTTCCACTTGGCTGCGCAATGGTTTAGCGTTTATATTCGACGTTTACACCACCCATAGGTGGTGACTTACAGAACGCCATCGGAGGCGAGAGAAATTCCGAGAAATTGGCCTTTTCCTTGGTTGCAGTGGCCACCAGTCCCAGGTTTCGCCCATTGTCTCTTCCACCAAACCTTTCACGTGATCAAAAATACCAACATGCTCGTGTGAGGAAATCCGCAGGAGATTGGAAGGCACCCATGATATCTCATGAGCGAAAGCTTGGACTGAGTCTGGGTCGAGTATGTTGCCATCCTCTGAAATGATGACGCTTCCTATTGCAGTGGCCATCTTTTGCTGGTATGATCCATGGACAAAGCTAGCAAGTTGATACTTATATTGCGCATAAGCTTGGCTTTTGCGTAGAAAGCTTCCAATTTCTTGAATATTAATTTCTGTGTGACCTGAGTCTTCTCCCTCATTGTCTAAGGAGCTTTCTGATGCAGTGTATGAGTGATCTGATTCCTCTCCAGATAGAGCTTTGTGAGATGTCTTGATCGGTGCTGGTTGTGAAGTCCCAAGGAGCTCACGGGATTCTGATATACTCCCTTTTTGACTGTCGTTCTCCGTGATGTTGACTATTTCTAGTGCAAGCGAGAACATAATCCTTCTAGATCTCAGTAGTCGCGCTGCCGTCTTTTCATTACTGCTAACGGCCTCAGTCTTCAATGACCCCCCGAAACTGTAAATCAACTTGCGAATATTCCTGCAAAGTCGGTCGCGGCCAACTTTCGGATCTTGAAGCGCATAATTATTTAAGAGCGAGATGAACGGGCTGCAGAATAGAGTCCTAGCAAGACCGGCTGTCAGATTGTCCATGTCCAGGCTTCCTAGACTGGATAGACTGGAGGCGGCTGAAAATTCAGAGAATATCGACTTCGCGTATGCAGACTCTACATCCGAGCTTTCAGTTATTTTCTCTCCTGATGAATTCATTGCTTTATCGATAAGGCTTTGAAGAGTCTCGTCTGAACTCGAACCAAGATAAGATATCGAAGTATCGTCCACTACTTGAGGCGCGACTTTTTCAATCTTGAGATCTTGTATCGGTTTCACCCGATCACTGTCAGAAGCTTGACCGCGGAGTAAGGATGCAAGACGTTTGGAAAGATGATCAGATTTCTGCACGAAGCTCTCTTGCGCTTCATCGATTGTCTGGCGCATCCGCGTCTGCGCTTCAAAGCTTTGGTATTCGTAAACATTTTCTGGTGGGTCTTGCAGGCAGGATGATGCTCCAAGTGACAGGTTTTGGAAATACGATCTCAAATCCTCGCAGATCTGGAGGCATTGTTTTGTGGCTTCTCTCTCGTCTCTTAGATCGATGCCTATCTCCGCATGAGCGTTGCGATCCGTCGTCGGCTGTGTTATCTTATCGTCGATCCGCTGCAGGTGGAGCTCTAGATTATATGTCGTATCTTTGATCATCCCGGTGTACTTTAAGAGGACCCCTTCGGAAATCTTCGAAGATTGCCTAGCGCGAGAAAGTTAGTAACGGAGGCGAGGAGGGAGTTTTGGGCGACTAACATAGTGACGGTGCCTAACCCGACTGAGATGGTCGACTTGTACCCTGCAATGGTTTCGATGAATTCGTTAATATCCCCTCTCATGAATTCCATCCGCGCCCAGTCTCGGAAACCAGTCTTGGACTTTTGGCTGAAACCCTCCATCGCCGCCTCAAATTCACGACATACTTGATCGCATCGTTCGATAGGACCCTGCAGAAGCGCCAACAAGGATTCCTCGGTAGCAACGGTTTGGGTTAACGATTCCAGAATCTTACTTAGATGGTCCAGCTCATCTTGCAGCCTCCCAAGCGTCTTGTCCCGACCTTTGTACCGTTTAACGGCCTCGCGTAAAGACTTTGCAGACTGGATCGCAGCTGTGGAGATTGCGAGTAATGAGGCTGCAATGCTTAAAGGGTCTGCCATTCTTGTGTCGTTTAGTAACTAAAGGATCTCTAACTTGTGTACGTCTCAGCGAGCGTGAAGTACGAGTGCCATTTTCTTCGAACAACACGGCTACTCAGAATCTAATATTTGATTAGCAGCTCCGGCACGACGTCCCTGATTGGTGAGATTAGCGCCGCATGCACGCGCCGAGCACAACTCACGATTGGCGTTATCGCGGTTCACATGTGTTTAGTTCAGCTTTCACCTCGCACGTGTCAATCCATGACTATTAATAGCAGAGCGCTTCGAAGTCTCGGCTTCAGGTTCGTGACCAAGACGTCCACACTTACAGCCGCGTCAACTTGTTTCCAGGCATTGTGCCGCTTGCTGATAGTGAAATGCGGCCACTTATTCCAATTCCATAGTTGCACATGTTTCACGAAGCGCCCGTAATCCGCTTTGTCTGTTGACTGTATGGGTGATGAGGGCACAAAGCTGACCAACGCATTCTGCGATCGTGACAGCGCTAAGCGCCGGGTTCTCCGCAAGCAATTGAAATGCCACCGCTGCGAATCAGCGCACCCGATGCCCTCACTCGAAATGCGGCGACGAACGGTTTGAAAACCAAAGTCACTTGCGAAGTCAAGCGGCCACGACCTATGAAACTTCTACACGGCCAAAGAGATACACTGCTTGGCATTCAGAAATATGTAGGTCATAAGTTCCATGTCTCGTCTAAAGCCACCATTGATCATTGAAGCACTGTTGCTGATCATCGTTACTGTGAGCAACTTCTCCGCAAAAACGTGTACAACGTCGCCCGTTTTGAGAGCATGGACACGACTCACCACACACCCTACAGTCGCATCGCATTTTGCGAACGGCTTTGATTTCCTGCTGAAGTTCAGGTAAAACTTGGGGCATCTTTTCTCTAATTAGGGCAACCAGCTCATCCAGAACGTCTCCAAGATCGATTGGCGATGGTTCGTTTGAGATATTCGGGCATCTCAGTATATGTTCAAGGCATTTGACTTGTTTGACAACACAAGCTGAGTCCCAGAACATGCCACCTACCATCGCGCTGGGTTCGATAGTTTGTACCGCGTGAACTATCAAGTGACCAGGAGGCATGACAAAAGTCTGCCCAGGTCGAAGTGTTATAGCACGAACTATGTTTCTTCGTGGAAGCCAGTCATGTGCATCTCGGCTAAGGTCTTTCCAGTCGCGTTCAGTCATGTCCTTAGGATGGATCCAATACCACCGCTTAATACCGAAAATGGGATGGACCCATGTCCCCGAGAGAACATCACAGTGGGCTCCTGAAAATGCACCTTCGTAGCCATAAATATTAAACCGCAGGCACTCTTTAATGTCCGGAGCTTTCCCGCTCGTAGTCGATCTCCAAAGTAGTGTGCTTAGTAACCTAAAGCGTCGTGCTTTTAAGATAGCAGAATCACCGACTCCGACATAGTCTGGCATTGCAAGTGCATTGAGCCCAAACGGGCGGAGCTCCGAGATTTTGCGCACTTGGTATGCTGAGAGTTTCCGTCTGCCTTGTTGATAGTTCGGATCGATTACATCGAGCTTGTGTGAGCCGAGACAGTCGGCGACGTCATCAAGAAACACAATTTCCGAGTAAGGGAGTGTAGTGAGACTTTCTTCGAGAAGCAGTGGCCTGCTTAAGCCGTGGGGAAATTGATCCATGAGTTCCGGGAGATTCTCAGCATGGAGCCTTAGGACGTCTATTGATTCCAAATTTGTAACATCTGAGAATAGAGTAGCGCGAACATCCAGGACTCGTGCTTCTGAAGAGTTTGCAATCCATGCGAGGGCAGCGTGACAGTCTTTGTTGTGCTTTCTATCGTCATGTGACCGTCTCGCTTGTCGGTAAGCGTCCTTCAAAACCGAATCTGCTGTATCGGGCGGCGGAGTCAACTTATCTCCCGGACAGCAGCTATATCTTGAAATGCGTTTCCTGCCCGGCGCGTTGTCGTTCTCGCCGTTGTTTCCGCAATCTCTGGCACACGCGGCGGTCGCACGCCCGTTTTGGATTACCTCGGCGCAGCTGTCGTTCTCAGCTTCCTCTTCGTGTTCGGCTTGGTCAGCTCTCTCGTCGTGTCCGGCTTCGTTGACTTCTGCATAATGTGCAGTGCCGTTAGCGGGCTCGTACTCTTCTCTCTCGCCTTCTTCGTACGCTTGCAGCCTGGTTCTCTTCCTTGCATTCGTGCTCCTCAAACCACAACTTTGCGAGTCGGCAGTAGCATGATCCTGATGCCGCTTCCGCCAATTTGAAGGGACGAGCATTCCATATTGATCCCTTTGTAGTGCATGTAATTGATAGATGTCTTTGTTCTGTTCTTTAAGAAGTCCTTTCAGCCAAATGCTTGATTTGAAATCTTGCTTTTCGAAAAGAAACATAGTATCGAAATCTTGTTTGGCCCATGCCTCAACATCCTTATCTTCGACATGAAACTCCTTTGAAAGTCGGTCATAAGACCGAGTTGCATTTTTGATGTCCTGATGTGCCAATGGAAGGTACGTGGCCTGGACTGTTTCATTGCCACGATGTAAGCCGACGCGATTAAAACTGGCGTCGTGAAAGCTTCTAAGATGACGATGAAGTAAACTTAGGTTCAGCCTTCGTACAACTTCGTCCCACGAGGGTTCTTGGCGACAAAGAGCAGCAAGTGATGAAAGAGCCGTGATCCCGATGTCTTTCCATCGGTAGTAAATGACTCGTTTAGCTGACCATTGGAGGACGAGGACCCCAAGTGCCCTTTGTCTGGCAAGTGTCGTTTTTGACTGGTATGCTAATGGCTCAGACGATGCGAGTAAACCGCACTTTTCCCAATTTGGATCATTGGTATTAGGCAAGGTATCAATATTTCTCGACCGGGCACCCTCGATAATCGCATGCGCGAAGATGGAGTCTTGATATAGCAGGCGGTCGCGGTGTTCGCAGAGTACTCTTGCAACGTCTGAAGGGTCTCGTAGCAGCACAATTTCAGCATGAAGCTTGTCTAGAGAGGCTTGACATGTGCCTGGAAGAAACAATTCTGCATCCGCCATGTTGTTTACGCTAGAAAGTAGTTTGATGCTGCTGAGAATTGTGAGAGTTCGTTGTCAGGCAGAAATACGCACGGGCCCAACTGAATCGGATTCAGTTGGGCCCGTGCGTGCTATGCCCAATAATGCTCGACTAGGAGGAACCTGTACCGAAGCGCAATGAGATCGGCCATCTCGCATCACAGCTTACTGGAATAAGTGCGCAACGTAACATCGTGGTCCTCGAACATCGTCTAGGCGAGAATGACAAACATCAATGAAATTTGGACTGTAGCAACATCCGAAAATTGCATGACGAACACGCGATGGGTACAAATCTCACATTAAAGGACACATGCAGCTATTGGAGAGACTCTGGGCTGCTTGAGCATGTTAAGAGCAGAAATAGAGCCGCGTTCCAGAACTTCAACAACTTACATCATGAGCTGAGGACTACAATGCGTAAATGACATAGATGCCCGCACGGAGGGATGCCTCTACTGCAAGTGCGGAATGCCAAGCTCGGATACACTAAGTCTGACTCAGGTCATCCTGTGAGACATTAATCAGCATATCAGCCCACATCGAAGGCGCAGGCCCGAGCCAATCCAATCCCATCTGCCATATTAACACCCCTGAGCCTTGATCGCCCAATGTCAGACATCACACCCACGACCATTGGGCCAAGAGTGCTCATGACATTCAAGAAAATTAATACCAAGGAAGACGCTCGGCTTGCCGCAATCAGCACTAGCAATGACCCTATCAGTGCGGAAGATGTCATCACTGGCTCAAGAAGCGGAGTCATGATGGGAGCAATGTCGGAGGAGACTGCACGGCACATATCAAGCGACCACAAGGCATTAATCGCCACATTGAAAGAGCCACAAGCTCAAGAGGAGAGCAGTTCGTTTGCAGGTCATGGGCATACATTAGAAGAGGGCAAACGCTAGAAGCCTCGACAGAGAGTACCTGTACATGGTGTGGCCTTTGTTGGATGGAAGACCATGTGACAGTACTTGACTGACTCGATCGTGCAACCGCTGTCTGGGCTGATATGTACAATTCCACACCAATGTTTGCGGTGTAGCTGATTTGGAGTCCTTCGTGTGCAGTGTGCTTCCAAAACATGCATGCCCTTCGTTGGATAGTCACTACTATACATGTAACGCGATGGTGAGGGGCCGGAGTGTGCCATCTTACATCGCGACGATTCACAGCGATCGCTCCTATGACAAAAGATTTCCGGACGGTGCTACGCGAAACGTTCTATGCCATCACTCGTGTGGCTTCATTTCGGTGGTAACCAAGAACAGTGACGTCTTGATCTCTCACCAGACGGGCATTAATATCATCAAACACCTAAAGCTCGTTCCTGCAATCACAGGGCCTGATCCTCAGCGCTAGTCGGACAGGTTGTTGGATTCGTGTGTTGCGAAGTGTTCCACTTTGCTTCTAGACCGTGATAGACGCTGCCGACTTCATTTCACAAGACGCTATGACTTGAAACCCAACGAATCTAGTTGACAGTCTCGAACGAATCTTTCCAAATCGTGATTAGAGGCTAATACTCAAATTAGCGTTTGATGGCTGATCTAGACGGTGCAAAATTTGTCGTCTTTCCATATTATCTGGGCGAGTAGTCAGAACTAACATATGAATTGCACTCCACTCGAAGTGCATTGGACACATGAACAAAGACAAGGAAACCACCAAGACATTCCGCTTCAGCTGACATGACTAAATATAGGGTGAAAGAGGATCACGAAGACATTCTTCTACAATGCTTAGACATATGCATCAAACGCTGCGCGGTCGGACATGACTCCCACAATCTGGATGTCCGACTTCGACGGCTGCTAAGAGCAGTGTTGGACCAGTCCCTAGATAATGCAGCACATGAGAAGTACAGCCTTGGTGACGACGATAAAGGCTGCACAGACATCTGTACACCATATTCTAAAATTACTGGCACTGGAATTGCAATGCCTCCAATCAATTCGACAGCTCGGAAGACTACTCGGACCTCTTGTGCGTTGCCTACGGTAGTCATTGAGAGTATTGAATCCAGAGATGCCTCACTGAAGCAGCACTCAGACATGTGCAGCTTTGAACAATATCGTGAGCCAAACTCGCATCCGTTGGTCCATCTACAGAGGGAACCCGTCACGTACCAACATTTGCACGACAACCTCGGGGACGCTGAGAACCCGAATTTGGTTTACACACCTACTACGTCGGATTCTGTAACACTTTCCTGCAAATTACCAGAAGTGGCACCCTCGACTGTTCTGAAGATGCCACTTGTGTTCAAAAACGTACACGCAAAAGAAGACGCCCGGCTCGTCATAGTCAGCACCACACACGATACGACCCTTGCACAACCCCTAAACACGCAAGACGTCACTGTTGGCGCAAGAGGTGTAGTGATACTAGGATCGATGTCAGATGAGACCGCACGAAAGATTTCGAGCTACCACAACGCATCAGTCGTGAGATTCTGAGAACTCCATGTATTGCAAAAAGGGCAATTCTTTCGTGGGGTTTGGACGCTATTTGGGAGAAGCTGGAGACACGGAAATTCGATGGAAAAAAAAAGAACAGACAAAGATACGAATACCATTTGTCAATGTATTGCGACTAGGTTTCACCAAGTAGACAAGTAGAGATTATGATTGAGCAGACAGATCCTAACCTTCGGGGCGGCGTCGGGCAGAAAAGCTCCACAAAGGCGAACGTATTAACATTGAAGAGCCACGTGTTGCGCGCGAGATCGGAGGATTAATTGACGAGAATATCTTAACTAGTGCATACAACTTCGTCCGCCTAAACGCTCACGACACAGCCTTGCACATGGCCGTCATCGCGCCGCTTGGAGCACTTGCACGATGGAGCAGATAACTGCCTTCCCCTCCTACAATGTGTGAATCTATCGTTGACCTCCGTTGATTAGCGCGGGAAGCCAGTCCGTTGAGGCATCTGTTCGCGAGGTGAGATAATCTACAACCGCTTATGGTGTGCATTCGTCGCTGCGGTTGCAGCATGGGACTATCGGGAGGACAGCATGCGCATTTTCACACACACATCTTTAGGCAGGCTGGTGGCGCACGACCGATGGACCTACCTCCAGACAGAAGGACTTGCCGTAAAAGTGTTGACGGCATCATCCGCTCACAGAGCGGGGATCTGCGACAATTCGCTACCACCCTGCATTAACTTCCATGGACAGGCCTGTCGAATGCTAGGGTTCGTGCACGACCGGGGAAAATTCTGGATCAACACTCCAGACCATCCCGGCACATGACCTATTCAGTGCTCATTATAAGCACTGAAGCCTCTTTTTGGTTCTGGTCTTGCACGTGCTTCCACGACAGTTCTCTGCCCATGAGTCATCAGTTGGACTTGGTCGCATAGCTCGGCGGCTTTATCTCGTACATGCTGACGTACGTTACAATGTCTACGCCTAAGAGGTGTTGTGTTGCGCACATGCTTCGCAGTGGACGTAAGGCAGCTCGCTAGACTGACTGCCACGGTTTCGTATAACGGTTATGCACATGCATAAGAAAACCAGATGCAATTGCTCTCATGTAAACCGGAACTATTGTCCGATCCAAAAAACTTTCAACCATACGCAAGATCCTTGCCATGAATGTGGATTTATCAAACCCATTTGCATGCTAGAAGCTCCTTCAGTGATCTCTTGGTCGAATTAAGGGGCAGGCTTTGAAATGGAGTCAACAGAATTTCGAACTGTAGGAGTTCAGGATCTCTGCTTACCGTTTGGTCCGAAGGATTTCTAGTGACATGCCCCGCCTTGACATCAGTACCATCAGCACTTTTCGCTCGCGTGGTTACGACTTCAGAGTCCTAAATTCCGCCTAGCCCATGGAGACACAGACAATGATGCGCTTGTGAGCTATGGAATCGAAGGCACTTTATACCTCGATGTCGATCTCTCCGTGTAGTATTTCCTTGTCTTCGAATGGCTGCGAACGTATGAACCTCAATCCGGGCATACTATGCGCTCGATGATGTAGGATTGGGTTTGACATCATTGAGGACACCCCACCATCACCGGGCTGCCGACCCCGCAACGCCATGTCCGATGATTAGTTACAGCAAGCTCATGTGTCCGACGCCTGGTGCGAGGGTCTCGCATAGCCGAACACCAGATAGACGCCGCCTAAGACTAAACACTATATATCCTTCAATTTAGGCACTCTTCACTTCTTCATCTTTTGACTGTCATATTGTACCTCTATTGCTCAGGCTAAAACCAAACGATCGTTAAAATGTCGGAAGAAATCCCCAAAACGCACAAGGCGTTGATTTACGATGAGCCCGGTAAAATCTCCCTGAAGGTCGTCGACTTGCCGACTCCGGAGCCTGGACCCGGCGAGGTTCTCGTCAAAGTTTTGCATTCCGGTGTCTGCCATTCTGACCTTGGCGTTATGGTGAGTGGAATTAGCCAACTGCGAAACAATCGTCAACTTTCGCACAAGTTCTCATCCCTTGGCCTAGACAAACCGCTGGGCAGGGCTCCCGTTCCCAACACAGGCTGGTCAAGTGGGCGGGCATGAAGGGAGCTGTAAAGTAGTCAAGCTAGGACCAGGCACAGAGGCCAGCGGCATCAAGATTGGTGATCGTGTGGGCATCAAGTGGATTGCCGGGACCTGTGACACTTGTAATTTTAAGTTTGGACCCCAGGAAGGTGCCGAATGCTAACATATGATTTTTAGGCCCGGCTTGCTTAGTAGGCGAAGACGGTGTATGTTTCAAACAACGGGTGTCGGGATTTTACACTCCCGGAACCTTCCAACAGTACCTGGTTTCCGATGCAAGATACGTTACGCCGATCCCAGAGTCTTTGCCTTCAGATATGGCAGCTCCCTTGTAAGTTCCTCGGGCGGCCCGAAGCATCGCTAGACCGCTTACATCTTTAGATTGTGCGGTGGAATTACAGCTCTCTCTGCAATCAAGAAGAGCGGTGCTCAAGCTGGCGACTGGGTGGCCCTTCTGGGAGCCGGAGGCGGTGTTGGTCACCTGGCTGTGCAGTTGGCATCAAAGGCATACGGCTTGCGAGTTATCGGCGTCGATGCAGGATCGAAGAAGAACCTCGTGATGGAATCAGGAGCCGAGGTCTTCCTCGACCATACCCAATGCAAAGCCGAAGAGGAAGTGCTCAAGGCCACCGGCGGCTTGGGCGCGAAAGCCGTAATCGTACTCACCGGAGCGAATGCAGCTTACGCCAGGCAAGTCCTATGTTTCAGTTTGTCCACAGGAGATACTAATGGCAAACAGCGCGATGGGCATGCTCAGCTTTGGCGGCACGCTGGTCGTTGTTGGTGTTCCGGAGGGTGAACTCAAGCCTATTGCGACCGCGTTTCCGGGCATTATCGTAGCAAAGGCGCAGAAAATCGTCGGTGTAGCGGTGGGCAACCGGAAGGACGCCATCGAGACGCTGCAGTTCGCGGAGCGAGGCCTCGTGAAGACGCACTTTGAGACGTGCAAGATGGAAGAAATGACGTCCGTCTTCGAGAGAATGGAGAAAGGAGAGCTCCAAGGTCGTGTTGTTCTGGACATGAGTGCGTAATTTGGTTCGGATCAGATCAAGTGTCCTTGCTTGAAGTAACATCGTAAACCCACCATCTGGAACAGCACAGCTTGGTCATGTCAGCAACATATTTAGCTCATTTTTGAAACCTCGAGTAATGTGTGAAACATTTTCCGACACCATGATAATGAATAGAAGACGAGAGAGGTGTAGGCTCTCATTGCTGATTTAGCGATGTCCCGGCCAAAGCATATGGAGTGCGGAACTGCTCGATTGGGCAATTATGCGCAGGTCGTCCATCACGGTTGTTCCTTCGACATCAAGTTAACTCGTCACCCGCACTACCGATATAGATTATAGAGGTCACGAGATGTATATGTTTGATGACATTGTCAATGTTCACATCTAATGCAAGCCGACAGTCCGAGTACGGCTTGACGCTCGCGCGACCACGCTTCAGCACGGAGATAACTCGAAGGAATTGCGCTTGTCAAAGTACTCCAAGTTCGGGCAACCTCCCTTCGACATGTTCGCATTTCGTGGCATGTCCAGACGAGCTTGGAGCCGCACATAGAAATTGGGTCAGAATTACAAAGCGGATGTACACTGATAAGCTAACTCTTGGGACGCGTGATTGGCGCATCGCAACGTGAACGCACAAGTCTTGCTTTGCACCCAGATTTCCACAAGCATCGTATGTGGCGCTTGCACCGCATTAGATTTGGCCGCTGCATTTGACAAGGATCTTGACCTGACTGTCTTTCTCGTTTATCAGAGATTTGAATCCCTCCTCGAGGACGTCTGGCATGTCAATTCTCTTCGTTATCATCTGCGCACTCTTGTCCAATCTGCCGTCGGACAAAGCATCGATGACCTCTTGGAAGTCTTCGCGAACATAGGTCGCAACACCAAGATAAGATCTTTCCTTGAAGACCAAGTCGTTCGGGGTGATGGTACACGTCTTTTCCCAGATCGCAATGTTGACATGCGTCCCACGAGCTTTGAGGGCGTTGATTGATTGATCCAGGCCGCTCTGGACGCCTGCAGCATCAAAAGAAATGTCGACTCCTCTCCGGTCCGTCAATTCGCGGCACCGCGCAACGACGTCGTCCTTGGATGGATCGAGAACGACGTGAGCGCCAAAATCTGCCGCAAAATTCTTCCGCATTTCAGAAACTTCTGAGCAGATGATCTGAGCACAGCCTCGAGCTCTGAGAGCCTGGATAACGGCTAAGCCGATCGGCCCTCCGCCCACGACCAGGCACGTATCGGTAGGTTTGAATGGCGACGCATTGACTGCGTGCCATCCCACACTGAGCGGCTCAACCAAAGCTATAGGTGCAAGTCAGCCCTTGAGAGATCGTTCGGCAATGCCATCTCATCATAGCTTACCAAGCACGTCGAGCCCGACGTTGTCTGGAGCGCTGTACAGCGTGTACTCTGGCACGACCAGGCACTCAGACAACCCTCCACCCCATCCGCTGAGGCCCACAAACCCATTCTTCCAACAGCAATTGACCAAACCGGCCTCGCACGCTTGGCAATCCCCATCGAAGATGATTGGAGCTACGACGACTCGACTGCCGACCTTGAAACGATCTGATACGCCCTCTCCACACTCGATTACTACGCCGGAGAACTCGTGCCCAAACGTGATTGGTACCGTCTCTCCTGTGATCGGGTGGGGCGAAGTCGGGCATAGTGATGGTCCTCCGAGATATTCGTGGAGATCGGAGCCACAAATCCCAGTCCAGGCTGGCTTCACTTTGACATGCCCGGGTTTACAAACCGGCTCCGGGACGTCCTGGAACACAGTGCGTCAGTGTCAGTGAAAAATCAGGATATTCAGCCGATCATGAACTGGCCGACCCACTTCATATCGAATGTCCTCTTTCCCGTGGAATCGCACAGCCTTCATTGTTGCTCTGGGTCGTTTGTGACAAGAACTTTGGAGCCTTGATGACGAAGTTGATAACAACAAGTCTTTTAATCACAGTTGAGATCTCCTGGTTACCGTTTATCGCAGTCCGAAATCCTTCAAATCAGGTAGGTTTCCTAGATGGGGTATCGCCACTATACTACCGCTTGTCCGTGTAGCCTGTTTCAAGGCTTAAAACGAAAGGGCACACCCACGCTGCTATTCTAGGCAAGTGCTCGAATTAAACATCCACGTTATTGAATCGTTTTTTGCTTCATTTTCCGGGGCTTAACATGCAGGTCTGAGAATTCTGAGGCGGATTCGGAGCACTACTATTGTCCAGAATCATAAGGTTTTGCAAATAGTAGGGCCGTTTCACCATCGTCGTTTCAAGGTGTGCCCTTTTCAAGATCTCATGGCTGAGCGCCGCCGCGTGGCGGGGTTCGGGAAGGAAGGACGGTCGCCCGGAGATCAAATGCGGTAACCCGGTGCGGTAATCATGCAGCAATGGTGAGGGCCTGCCGCTCAGAAGTCGCGTCCGATCTCATGATCGCATGAGTGTGATGGAGTTGCGGAGTCTTGGTGAAATGATCATCTGCCTGTTTGTTGAGTAGCGTTAAGACTTGAAGCCTTCATTGTCCCTCGCTCATCTCCACGAATGATTGCCGACTCACGAGTCCCAAGCCGTACGCGGACGTCTGGGGACTTACTAGTCATGGCAAAAGGGTTGCCCTCGCATTGCCGAAAAGGTCCGCACGCTTAAGCCGTAGATTTACATACAAATCCATCAAGGTGTTGTGCACTA